CTTATAATTTACTTTTGTTATAACATTTTGTTTTGGTGTGGATTTAACTGATGGTAATGAATGGAGCGGATGAATGTATGACCACAAATCTATACCAACTTACCTTGGTGGCTTGTTAATATTTAGTTGACTTTACTTTGGCTTTATAAGCAAGAAATGTTCTGTTATCTATCTTTTGTTTTCATTCATGGCTCGAAGTATCTCGTCATTTCATGTTCTAAGCTTGATGTTTATCTTTATGTGTATGGCATGATGTTTTTCGTATCGTTAAGTTCTAAGCTGGATATGATTATTTGGATATTCTCTTTGTTGTTATTAATCATGAGGAACCCTTGTTATGTAATTACTAATATGAACCACTATTCCTTTATTGTCTATTTTACTTTCTGCGGTCGTCTTCCCCTATTTGAAATCTTTAGAAACCCATTTTCTTCCCTTGGCATTTATGACATCACCAAAAGTTAATATTTGTAGCTTTAATTGTAATGGGTTGGGCGACCGCAGAAAACGAAACGAAATATTTACATGGCTAAAGGACAAATCATATAACATTTTTTGTTTACAAAATGGGGTAAACTTTATAGTGTCCTTTCAACTTAGTTTCTTTAATAGTTTGCTATTTCTAGGGTTCCTCATCACTTATAATGATCATACACCATTGTCTCCTGTTTTTGTGTTTTACTTTTGTGGTTTACACATGTGTTTCTTTATTTTGTATACATGCCATACTTTCTGTCCAATATATATGTGAAAATATCAATAAAAAGAAAGAGTTTAAAAAAAAAAGAACTACACCCGGCCGGCTGCAGGTCCCAGTCGCGTTTAGCAAGTTCAATCGTATGCTACAGAGTAAAGCAGAGGTATCGAAATGACGGCAATAAAAGATACGTTATGATATGATATTATATGATATGATATGTTATTATCAGGAGCCCCAGATTGTAACTTAATCCGTCAATGGCATAGAACTACCTGGAAGAAATTGACCATCTTTGAACGTCGAAGAACCACAAACGAACATTTGTGTATTTGTTAACTCCAGTTGATTGTTATCAAGTCCCATATCAAACCATCTCGTGAACCTGACACCCCCGTTATGCATGTTCGAATCATCCACGATGCCCACCGTTTGTGACGTCTCTCTGTCTCTAAGCGCTGTTTAGAACAACAACGTTCCACTGACCACATTTCCCCGCGAAAAGTCGTCCTAACAAGACGCCATGTGGGAAACTATTATGAATATTCTGAGCTGTTGCTCTCTTATCAAAACCAATAAAGTCACACCAGCTGGAAAAGGAGTAGATGATGGACCGAAGGAGTCATCTGAGCCACAGGACATGTCTATGGACAGGGGGAATGACGGTAAGTGACACGGACGTCTTTTGGCAGTTTTGCTACCGGATTCTGATACACGTAGTAGCCCTTGAATTCTTCGCCGCCTCTCAAAGCGCTCACCGCGTTACCGGAAGGTAACATACAGCAGGACACTTCATGAGTGTAATACCGCCATGTTTTTATGAAAGAGAAACAAAATAGCTTTTGCCATTCATGTCTTTTTAACTCAATCGGCATAACCAAGTCTGTTGATTCCACTCTTCTCTTGACTTTGCTGCTTCATGGCCGACTGTGCATGCCGTTAAGTTTCCGTTTATTCCAGAAGTATTCCTCGCGCAAGTAGTGCAGGCTCCGCTGTCCCAAGCCAGGTCTACCAAGTCGTCGGACGACGTACTAGCCGACCTGCGACAGGCGGGAGTGATTCCGATTAAATGCCAGCCGACATCCGTGGCCTTTGAGGTGGCGGACCCGAAGATCGCCTCGGCGTTCGAGACGAACAGCGCGCCCCCGCGCCGCCCAGTCAGGCTGGAGAAGTTGGATCGCAAAATGGAGGAGAGGCGGGAGATGGTGAAGAAGAGAATCGCCGAAACCCCAAACGAACTGCGGACGCAGTTGAATGAGGCAGACGAGCGCAGACGGGTAAGTTTACCTTGGAGTACTAGTATGTGTTGTAAAAATAACGTAAATAGAAGAATGTGAATGGGTGGAAAGTTAGATGGAAGGATTGACAGACCAATGCAAGAACAAAAGGAAAGGAAAGTTTGAGACAAGTACTCATCATTAATGATTTTGTATTGATTAATGTAGGACATTCTGGCCAAGAGATCCCGGAAATTGGCTAACCAGGCCGCTAGGAAGGCGACAAAGAAGCCGTGTGAAGCAAAGTCAACCGCTTTCTTCATCAAGCCGACAATGAGCGAGACGGACGCCGTCATCGCTACACGCGAGAACAAGAAGAGGAGGCGCATGGAGGCCCGCATGGAGAAGCGTCGGGCACGTGTGGCAAAGAAGGCCACAGTGGAGGCGCTGCAGGCACGTCAGGCTGATGCCGCGGAGAGACGCCAGGTACATACTAGAATTATTTTCTGCCTGTGAAAAACATAACCCCTACGCCCTATCGTCCTTGGGTGTTATAGACAAACACAGAACTGTCATTACAGTGTTTGTCCGCAAAATAATACACAGGATAAAAGCGTAAAGAGATGTTTATAATTTTACATCGATATCGCACCACCGTAACCAAAGGGCTGTGGCTGGCCTATGTGACATGATTTTATTCCTGTTTCTCCTCCATACAGGAGAAGGTGCGAGCCACCGTAGACAAGGCCAAGCGTTTCGGCCGCCCCGCCAGCCCCGTGTGGATGGAGCCAGCAGGTAAACTCGGCAAGGAGGAGCGCCGGGAGACGCACGAGAAGGGAGAGTAAATTGCGTCACGAGAGACCACAACCACCGACATGTTACACCTTTCATGAGCTCTCAGAGCAACAATTTGAAGATAGTCTGAACATTATAGACTACCATACCACGGTTTGATTCATACATGCAGTATAGATGGTGTTTTTGAATGAAGCAAAAGTTACGTTGTCTTTATCTTGAGGCGTGACAAATCGAACAGAGAATGCCAACGCCATTCCATAACGTTAAAGCAAAAAGGTACTAAACTGGTTCCGTACCTTATTTTTTTGTTACTAATCTTTAAAAAAATGAAAAAAAGTTATTATCAACGTTGTTATCAAATATGTTCCAGGGCGACATGTTCTGGCCAGACTGCAATGTTTGACCAGGTACCCAGCTGTTGGAGAAGTTCCCTTTAACTGATTGGCTTGTTTTGTTACATAACCGGTTTTGCAAAAATAAATGTGAAAAATTTAAAAAAAAGCATCATGTCTCCGGTCAAGAAGGCACAGTATTGTCGCACCCAGACGTTATTTAATCATTAACCAGCCTCAGATATTCAATACCCAAAGGAGCGTACCAAAAGTTCGACCTATACTACATTAGTTCTAGAACACGTGTCGTTAGTCTCTGCTTTCAACTATCAACGAAATGCTGCATGTCTAATACAGCTGCTTATGAATTGTCTGTTACAAACGATTACAAAACTATGTTTGCTGTTAGAAAATACAGTAACCAAGACAGGTGAATAAAGTTTTGAGTTTCTGAGACGACCCGTAAGTGATTTATTGCCTTTCTTGTGACCTTTGTTGGGGTTACGCCCTCCTGTAAAAGCTCACAATGAGATTTGCCCCTCAGAGCGGTTAGCTTAGTCTGAGGTCGACGTGGTCTTTGTACCAGAAGTGGGCGTTGTACCGTTTAGAAAACATTGAGCTTAAGATGCCAGTCGCCATGCTGTCTCTCCTCACTGCGTCGTTATTACTGGGGTTCACGTGCGGGGCCGAGTACGACTATGGCGCGTTCGACCCAAGCAGAGACAACTTCCGTCCAGGTACGTTTCCCAACGGCTTCATCTGGAGCACGGCCACGGCGTCCTACCAGATCGAGGGCGGCTGGGACGCGGACGGCAAAGGCGAGTCCATCTGGGACAGGTTCTCCCACACATCTGGTAACGTAGACCGCGGGGACACCGGAGACGTGGCCTGTGACAGCTACAACAAGTACCGAGAAGACGTGCAGCTCATGAAGGCCATGGGTCTAGAATACTACCGCTTCTCGCTGGCCTGGACCCGAATCTTTCCCGATGGCACCTCAGCAAGCGGCCCTAATCAAGCTGGAGTTGACTACTACAACAACGTCATAGACGAGCTGATCGCAAACGGCATCACCCCGATGGTGACGCTTTACCACTGGGACCTTCCGCAGGCCTTACAGGACAGGTACGGAGGGTGGGTGAGCGAGGAGCTCGTACAACATTTTAACGACTACGCCACCTTCGCGTTCCGCACTTTCGGGGACAGGGTGAAGTACTGGATCACGTTTAACGAGCCCTGGGTGGTGTGCTTCCTTGGGTACGGTACAGGAGGCAACGCTCCGGGCATTCAGGACTCGGGCAATTCCACTTACCTCTGCGGACACAACATCTTAAAGGTACACTCTAACATTTCTGCTCCTCAAGATTTTGTATTCCTGCTTTTGAGGATTTGTTCCATCGCTCTTGCACACAATATATCTAAACGCAAGGCTGCATTGTAAGTCACAAAAGTATTTACTTTAGAACCCTTTATTTATTTCTACAAGGCTCACGCGGAGGCCTGGCACACATACGACGCCGTTTACCGCGGCAGTCAGCAGGGACAGGTCAGTATAACGCTTAACTGTGACTGGCCGGAGCCCCGCGACCCGGACTCCCAGCTGGACGTCGACGCGGCTGACCGGTACATACAGTTCTACATCGGCTGGTTCGCCCACCCCATCTACTCTGCCGAGGGAGACTATCCCGCCGCCATGAAGAACAGTGTGAGTTGGACAAAGTTTTCTTTTCAGGCACACAAACATCCGTCTAGCTCTCTAATGTACTTGGTATTTTGTATACCTGCAAGCGCATTCTCGTGTGTGCAGACATTTCATCAGGCCAACTTTAAAACCATAGTATTTTGTTAACCACTTCTGTGTCTATCCCTAAGATCCTAAATGTAACTACTGTTACAGTCATAAATGATTTACTGTATGTTTTATGGTTTTGTTGACGAGATTTCTAAAATGAAGCTATAAACTAGAAAGGCCAATATTTGCTTTGGAGCAAATACAGCGATGGGTTCACCACATTTTACGACATGGCAGGGAAAGAATGAGAAACACAAGGGAAAACAATGATTTACATTGATATAACTATAATATGAAGTAACATACAACTAAAACAACAGTTGGATAGCTATTCCCTACTTTATTGGTTAGGATTTTTAATTGCATAATGCAAACTGTTGATTTTCAAAATAAAAAAAAACGTTCATGCCCCGCATTCCAATGCTGGAGCAGGAAAGCTTGAAATACCTACCAAAACACTTGAATACAGGCATACTGTCAGTATGGAAATGCTCTGTGCAGGTGTTAATCAAGTTAAATCCCAACAGCCAATCAGCAAGAAGAATAGAGGAAAGCTGCATGCCTATTGGTTGATGCCCTGCATTCCATTGTGATGACTCATGCCCAAACGTGGTAAACACGGCACACTAACACAGTAATACATTTTGCTATAACACAGCCAAAAAAAACCATTCTAAAAGCCTGTATCACAAAAATTTAAAAACCGCCTTGGGGTATTTGCCCATTGTACCTCCATACCAAATTTCAGGACCTTAGGCCCTAAAATGAAGAAGCTGAATCCATTTAAAGATATGGCAGGAGGAGAAGAAGGAGGAGAATCATCAGCAAAGACAATATGGTTTCACCACACCACTTCGTGGTGGGGTGAACCCATAATTAAAAAATGGAAAAGGTGAAAACTAGATGCTGTAGAAGTCCCAAACTGAGTCAATAAAGGATGAATGGTTGTGTCAATTGATGTTCGCACAAGAAAGGCATAAAACTGGTCTACAGGAATCGTCCAGTGCTGTTTATATGACACACTTTGCGTCTTTCAATGACCACCCTGTCTCCGTGAACCACAGATTTTGGAGAAGAGTCAGGCGGAGGGTCTTCGGGAGTCTCGCCTGCCTCAGTTCACAGCGGCAGAGATAGACTACATCAGAGGCACGGGGGACTTCTTCGGTCTGAACCACTACACCGCACGGATTATCCAGAACAGGGTGGACCCTAACGATGTATGCACTCCCTTTTTATTTGTTTGTTTGTTTGTTTGTTTGTTTGTTTGTTTGAGACATATTCAAATCAGCCTTAACATGATACTGCTGACTATTTATTTGTCCTATCTTAGAGACACCTGGGTAGCTCCTATACTATATATGGGTATCTTCATGATTTCCAAGGAGGCCCAGGAAACAAAACCATACTACATGACGTAAAATCATATGGAAAATTGTACATAAGTAGGACAACGTAGACCAGTTTCAAATACTAATTTTATTTTTTCATGTAGACCCCAGGCTACTCCAACGACAGGAACCTGTCCGAGAGCACGGCACCAGAGTGGCCGAGGGCCGCGTCCGAGTGGCTGTACGTCGTGCCCTGGGGGCTCCGCAGACTGCTCAAATTTATCAAGGTAGAGTGGAATACTTACCCTTTCTTATCAAGACTACAAAGTTGTGGGTGTCGATGACATGTAGAGACAGAGCGTTTGTGTATGTTCATGATACATATTTGTTTGTTTGTTTGTTTGTTTTCTTTTTTATCACGTCCCAAGACTTGTAACTTTCCAATCTGAATGAGCAAACTTACGGGGAATTTTTGTGTTTCCTGTAGACGAATTACCGTGACCCTGACGTGTACATCACCGAGAACGGCCGGTCGGACCATGACGAACAACCGCCCATCATGGAGGACGACGACCGCATCTGCTACTACATGGGCTACATCGACGAGGTCCTCAAAGGTAAGGGGCCGGTGGCTTTACTACGTCGCACGATCGCCAACAGTATGAATTCTAGGGATAGTCATGCATGTGTTCTGCAAAAATTTATTTCTCTTAATGAGTCTTATTACGAAAAGTCTGTTTTAGGTAGTTCTGTCATAGCCTGCTTGGAAAATGACAAACGACATTAATACTGGACGACGCCCTACGACGAATGTGACGGCGCCTGTGTAAGAGTGAGAGATTTGCGTCTCCTATGCACAGAAATTTCTAACGTGTCATCATACTACCTTAGGTACTAATTCCCTACTTTCGTCTCCTAACGCCCCAGCCATAGAAGTAGACACGGCATGGTCCCTGATGGACAACTTCGAGTGGTCTCGTGGCTACACCGAACGCTTCGGGCTGCACTACGTCAACTTCACCGACCCAAGCCGGCCCCGAACACCCAAGAAATCGGCAACTTTCTACCAGGATATCATCGCCAGCAACGGCTTCCCTGAGGGAGCAAAGGTTACTGAGATGGTGCGGAGTAGGTGGGAGGGGTGCAGGGGAGGGCCTGTGGGCTGGGCGGCAGCTACCCGCGCCAACATAGGGGTGCTAGTACTCTCGGTCACGGTTACGGTTATCTGTACCATTTTCAAGATATAGATGTGTGTACAGTTTCGCATGATATTAGTTGAGTAGGATGCAACTGTGTGTGATTTGGCTGTATCTTGATACACCAATCCTGACTGTGCATCACAGTTAGTGGCGAATCATGATATAACCTTTGAAATAAAACGTACAATGTATAGTCGTATCTGCGTGTACTCGCATAAAACATACAATAGCAATATAGTGGCGAGAAAGACATTATACTAGTTTTACTGCATGAAGACCTTAAAATTCACAGCCATGTGAGCGTTACGCTTAAGGACTATCAATGACTGAGTCAGTGAGTTTTATTGATGTGTACTTAAGCGTGTTTTACCATCGTGTGCATTGCGTGGTGTACGTGACATGCAGAAATAAACCTCTACATCTCTGTGGTAGTCAGGGTTCAGACAAAGCCCATTTGATAGAGTTCAAAAGCATGTCTGGCCAAGTACACGTTCAATAAAGTCACAGCAAGTAAATAATATTAATATTAATATAGATGTCATAAATATGTGTGTGTGTGTGTGTGTGTGTGTGTGTGTGTGCGTGCGTGCGTGCGTGCGTGCGTGCGTGTGTGCATTGATTTCGTAAAAAAAATAACAAGAAATTTGGTTCCCCTTCCGCGATGGTTTCTATCTTTTATTGAAATGTCAAGTTAGGCATCTTGTTTATTCTTGCGCTCTCGCATTAGACCTAAAGTCTTCAGGAGATAGAATTGTCTTGTGATGGCATAAGAACACTGTCGCACGAGCATAGTAAACATTACGTGCTGGTGTTTTTACGAAAAGAGACCATGGAGGTAAACATTAACCAACCCACGCTAACCCCGTACCCTCAACCTTGACTAGGGACCGCACAAGAACACGGTTTGAAAAGCAATAACAACTCTATTTTGGACTATTTTCTGACTTACGTGAAGTTATGATTACAAACGCCCACGGGAATACAACACGCCCTTCCAAGTATCGGTAAGTATAGGTGCGATGCAGCAAAAGTTTTAAATCTAGCATGAAAAGCAGTATACGATAGTTGAATTGGAAAGTTTGACCTTTTGAGACGAACCGGGTAATATTGTTCAAAGAAAGACATTACCTCAGCTGCGATATCGTGCGGCGGTACAAAGCCCTGAATCCCTGTTTTAGCTAGTTACAAAGATTACTTGGTACGAGGCCTAACATGTCGGGCACGATGCTGGGTCTATTTGCCACGTCCTTGTGCCTTGGTCTTGTTTGCGGGGCTCAGTACGACTATGGCGCGTACGACCACAGCAGAGACGCGTTCAGACAGGGCAGATTTCCCGACGGCTTCATCTGGAGCACGGCCACGGCGTCCTACCAGATCGAGGGCGGCTGGGACGCGGACGGCAAAGGCGAGTCCATCTGGGACAGGTTCTCGCACACATCTGGTAACGTAGACCGCGGGGACACCGGAGACGTGGCCTGTGACAGCTACAACAAGTACCAAGAAGACGTGCGACTCATGACGGACTTGGGTCTGAAGTACTACCGCTTCTCTCTCTCCTGGACCCGTATCTTCCCCGACGGCACGTCAGCAAGCGGTCCCAATGAAGATGGAGTTGCGTACTACAATAACCTGATCAACGAGCTGATACGTAACGGCGTAACTCCGATGGTGACGCTTTACCACTGGGACCTTCCGCAGAACCTACAAGACACGTACGGAGGTTGGGTGAGCGAGGGCGTCGTCAGGCACTACAACGACTACGCCACCTTCGTGTTCCAGACGTTCGGGGACAGGGTGAAGTACTGGATCACGTTTAACGAGCCCTGGGTGGTGTGTTACATCGGGTACGGGACAGGGGAGCACGCCCCGGGGATACAGGACGAGAGGAACTCCACGTACCTCTGCGGACACAACATACTAAAGGTATACCGACATCTCTGACTTGGTATTCTCGACGCAAACAAAATACTTTTTTTTGCTATCGATGTAGGTTCCATTGAAAAGCTACTTTTTTGGGTGGCGGGTGATTTTTGTTTATATATCATATATTATATACATCATATTATACTTCTTTAATATCTTTGATATGCAAATAAATATGATGCAAACATTCAAGAGCTCAAGAGCACGTAACTGGCGGGCATAATATTTCCCTTTCCTTACGTCACAACAAGAACACGTAAAAAGTCCGCGATCGCTTTGTTCAGAAGCTACATTTCTGTGGTTAGTTTTGCCAATCGGCAACTTTTATTCTAACTGTAAAACACATTTTTCTTGCACGCCCCAGGCTCATGCTCAGGCGTGGCACACCTACGACACAAACTTCCGAGCCAGTCAGCGCGGACAGGTCGGCATCACCCTGAACTCGGACTGGGCGGAACCCCGGGACCCTGAGCTGGACGCTGACGTCACCGCCACCGAAAGGTACCTGCAGTTCTACCTGGGCTGGTTCGCAAATCCCATCTACAGCGTCGACGGAGACTATCCCATCGTCATGAAGGAGGCCGTGAGTTAAAAGTTGCTTTCTTAAAAAAATGATAAGCAAAAACATAGTCTGAGACCAAGTCTTGATAAAGTACACTAAGTTCTAACTATAAACGATGTTTCTGCAATGATAGGCCGTTTGTTTTCATTGGGCAAATGGCCAGACGCTCACAGTAATTCTTAGGCAGTTTTACTATATTGGACCTTTGCAGACCGCGGTGATCACAACAACATCCAACGAACATGTGAAAGAACTGAAAGTTAATCAGTAACTGTGTGTAAACATGTACTGCTTCAACAGTACGCACAAAGGCACTCGGAAGGTCAAACAAATCCTGATGGTCATTGCTGTGGATTTTTTTTTATAAATCTAATGAAATAAATGTATAGGTTTGATACAACTCTTACCTTGTTTAAATGACAAACCAAATCGCAAAGTCGTCCAGGAAACGCGGTTACATTGGATGAAGTGTTTAGTTCCTTACAGTCAACGTTTGCGAACTCGGCGAGCCAGTAATTCTGCCTGGGCTCAGAAATATTCCTGGGGGTAGACTTGATAGTTTAGGTGGCCCATGGCTCGGGGCTAACCGAATTGGCCCGGTACACAGTCTTTACGTTACCAGGTTACTGTTTCCCGCAGGTGCTAGCTAAGAGCCAGGCGGAGGGTCTGCGGGAGTCTCGCCTGCCACAGTTCTCCCAAGAGGAAGTCGAGTTCATCAGAGGAACCTCCGACTTCTTCGGCCTGAACCACTACACCACACGGATCATTGAGGATAACGTGGTCGTCGGCGCGGTGTGTTACTTTTTGTGCTAATAATAAAGCCCTAGGAAGTAAATAATATGGATGTCATAAATGTGCGTGTGCGTGCGTGTGTGCGTGCGTGCGTGCGTGTGTGCGTGCGTGCGTGCGTGCGTGCGTGTCTGTGTGCAGTTGAGTGACAGCATGTGAGAGGGGGAATTCCCTAACCACAGTCCTCACATGCAGGGCATGGCAAAGTGCTTAAATTGTGGGCAAGCTCTCAGTCTGCAAAGTTTCTTTCCTAGACCGTAGAAAGTATGTCCAACAATCTCTCTGGTTATGCCAATAAATTAATAGAAACCCTACATACTTTGGTTTCCCCTATCTGATTGTATTAATTGCCTATGTTGTAGGCACCAGGATATTCGAACGACAGGGACATCGCACAGTACACGGCGCCTGAGTGGACCAGGGCTGAGTCGGAGTGGTTGTATGAAGTTCCCTGGGGTCTCCGCAGGCTGCTCAACTATATCAAGGTAGAGCTATAACAAGTTACATCCCATACGTCATAATTTCTGCTAACCAAAGCCCAGAGTAAACCTGGCTGCAATTTGGTAGCCTATGATTCCCATAGTAATAGCAGGATAGAAGAATGGGTTCCAACGTAGGAAAAATACAGAAACTTCCTTGCTTCTAAGATTACAGATGAAGATATTCTCATTATTATATCTTCAAGTTCTGAAGACTTTAATACCTCAGACATTAGGTCCTCCTACAGGCACCGGGCAGAAAGTTTCCATCTTGACCTAACGACAGCCACTTCCTCAGCGTTTTTCCATGTTATATTGGCTCCTGAAGTTTAGTTCTGAAGATGTTTCTGAAATATTTTGCAGCTGAACTATGGTGATCCCGAGGTGCTGGTGACGGAGAACGGGCGGTCTGACGGTGACGTCACGCCCCCTGTCATGGACGACAGGGACCGCATCTGTTACTACATGACGTACATCGACGAGGTGCTGAAGGGTAGGTGTTGATATTTCTGTGGTGTACATAACGGGTTAAAAGTCCTTGTAAGTCGTGATTCCCATAAATGTAGTAATCATATTACTGTACTACTATAATCAGGATCAGGTCCGGCCCTCGACCTGATCCTCTGAACTGCCAGACTGCCTACACACGCCGGTTCCTCGGCTCCAGGGCCAACATGACCCCAAGGAAATTACTCCACAGCCCCCCTCAGTTGGCTGGGCCTAGCGTGGTATGAGTCTGGCGTCTAGGCTAGACCTGGGTCTCAATTTTCTATACTCACACTTATTTTTATGTTAACGTCGTCTTCGTATGTTTAACGTTGCAGCTATCGAAGTAGACGGAGTGAAGGTGCGAGCCTACACCGCCTGGTCCCTGATGGACAACTTCGAGTGGGCCCGAGGCTACACCGAACGCTTCGGGCTGCATTACGTCGACTTCAACGACCCAAGCCGACCCCGAACAGCCAAACAGTCCGCAAGCTTCTACAAGGACGTCATCGCCAGCAACGGCTTTCCTGCAGGAGCAGAGGTTACAGAGATGGTGCGGAGTAGGTGGGCTGGGTGCAGGGGAGCGGCGGCCGCCACGCGCGCCAACATCGCGATCTTAGCTCTGTCATTCATCATAACTGCCATGTATAACCTTGTCAAGATGTAAGAGTTTGGTGGATCCATAACTGGACGTACAGATTTGCTATTTCCTAGTACTTTTGTGTACGTGTGTGTATAGGTTGAATTATCAACAAGGCAGCTTGAACGCTTCACAATTGTTCTTGTTTTTGTTTACGCATTTTTTAAATCGTAAGATTGTTTGTGTTGTGAACATGATAAGTTCTTCGTGTGGCATATGGCTTTCACTCACTGCGGATGCGCCTCCTATGAGGTATTTTTTGTGGAAACAACCTTCTTGGTGGTGATGGAAATGAATCATAAAAACTCCAGAGTTCTCATTTGTCACATTGCTCTTTGACTTTGAATAAAACGTTATTTCATGGTCATCTGAGGCTTTGAGGATCTTTGCGTTTGTGATCTGCAATCTTCTTTCCTAAATGTAGTTTTACAAGCGATCTATATTGTTTGAGTAATGGCACAATGTCAATAATGGGGCACTTACGTTACAGCAATGTGACCTTGTCATGGTCAATTGCCCCCAATAAATACGTATTGAACAAACATTCGTTCACAGTGTTGCTTGCACGGAATACTGTAAGTCTACAAATTTCCGCGGTATATTTAGATTCGCGGAATTCGCGGGGACCTTTGTACCGCGAATCTATTTCCCCGCGAATATGTTTTGCGTAAGTGTGCCCCCCTCCCCACATGCATTCACGAGCTAGGGCCGATTCACGACGGTATTAAGCGAAACGCTGAAACAACACACGCGATCCACAAATCACTGCAAATCAATTTTATTATTAGCAAATGTACGTATGCTGAGTACCAAAATCTTTTAAGTTATACTGATATCAAAAATGATATTATGAGACACCGAATCGCGATACTGCGGCACTGGCCGTGTCAAACGTGCACCGCCGGACAAAAATCTTTGCGTGCAGAACGCCGGCCATGCGCGCACGGGCGCTTGAAAATTGTGGGCACATCGGGCAAATCTACAAATATTTTGATGAAAAATAGAACTGCTGGTATCTGGAAAATGTTAGTTGATTCTCTTTTGCGCCCTGCTTTGCGGGCGTTTTTTTTTTCTTCTTGTTTTGCTGGATAGAAACGCTACCGTGGGCCTACAAAACCGAAGGCGACCTTTGCATACTTCCGGGTTCAAAATCTCGCCGAAAACGGCATAAATTTGCTTAGGAATATATATTTTCCCGAAAGATTCTTACGATTATGCATTTCTTCACTAGATTATCGATGTGTAGTCGTGGAAAATAGCGTTTTAGCGCTTATTTCCGAACAACGAAAATTGTTTACAAGCGCGTCAGATTGATAGAGCTTTACCACCGGCAGTCTCGCGCGGTGCACGAAACAAATTTTTGCGCCGCATTTTTGGAGATAAATGTCGGAACACGAACTTTTATTATTTTAAACATTCACTTTACAAGTTCTTCTTGGAACGGCCAAGGAGAAATCGCGAATCTAAAAATACCGCGGATTGTCCATTTTCCCGAAACCGCGAACTTTAGGCCCCGCGAATCTAAAGAGACTTACAGTATATAATGATATGAAATTACAACTTCAGTAGGTATGCATTCAGACTGGGTACCTTTCCCAACGATTTCATCTTCAGCACGGAACAACCACTTGTAACAAGTGGAAACAAACATTAAAAAGGACATGGATAATTATTAACAAAATCGGCGGGTTAAACTGACCCGTTACCTTTACAGGGATCGTTCATAAGGTTCTGTAACTATTGAATAAGTCTGTGGACAAACGCAGTTTCCTTCAGGAGTCAAATCAGACACAGCGCCTTATAATAATTGTCAGACAAAACTTAGCGTTGAATTGACGAGATTTAGAATTAAGACAAAAATTATATTTGCCAGTAGATTTCTAGCGTTCCTTTGTGTAGTCAGCCTTCTGAAACGAGCGGAGAGAATTACTTCATCTGTGACGTGCCACGAGGTGGGCGTGACGCGTCATGACGGTTAGTTTAGCCTTGTAGCTATAGCCAGGATTATTTTCAGCTGAGCGGAGACACAATGTTGGCTACCATACTGACCCTGCTTACCGCGTCTTTTCTAACGGGACCAGTGTGCGGTGCTGAGTACGACTACGGTGCGTACGACCCGACCAGGGACACATTCAGGACTGGGCGGTTTCCGGACGGGTTTTTTTGGAGCACGGCCACGGCGTCTTACCAGATCGAGGGTGCCTGGAACGTCAGCGGCAAAGGCGAGTCCATCTGGGACAGGTTCTCCCACACACCCGGTAAGGTGCAGCGAGGAGACACCGGAGACGTGGCCTGTGACAGCTACAACAAGTACCGAGAAGACGTGCAGCTCATGAAGGACTTGGGCCTACGATTCTACCGCTTTTCTCTTTCGTGGACCCGTATCTTTCCCGATGGCACCTCAGCTAGCGGCCCCAACCAAGCTGGAGTCGACTACTACAACAACGTCATAAATGAGCTGATCAGAAACGACATCACCCCGATGGTGACGCTTTACCACTGGGACCTTCCGCAGGCCTTACAGGACAGGTACGGAGGGTGGGTGAGCGAGGAGATCGTACAACACTTCGAGGACTACGCCACCTTCGCGTTCCAGACGTTCGGTGACCGGGTGAAGTACTGGATCACGTTTAATGAGCCCTGGGTGGTGTGTACTGCAGGGTACGGGTCTGGGGGCCACGCTCCCGGCATTCAGGACTCGGGCAACTCCACGTACCTCTGCGGACACAACATCATAAAGGTACGATCTGCAGTCTCACTACACTACGCAAGACAGGATCAAAGTTAGGGCGACTGGGTATAATTTCATGAAGGGTGGGGTAGGCAAGCGTGTTTGATATTCCTCGTTAAATTCTGCCTTTCCACTGTACAGCTCAGGTGTAACTAGCCGTCTTGTGTTTTCATGTTTGGGTCGGGGGTGGTTTGATGGGGATGGGGAGGGGCAAACGTACCCTGTCGTCCTCACCAATCTTTGTGTCTTTAACGTGCATGAAAACAATTTAAAATGTGACTTTCGTCTACAATTATTAGTCCCACGCCAGCGCGTGGCACAGCTACGACCAGAACTTCCGCCGTGCCCAGGGAGGACGAGTCAGCATCACGCTCAGCTGCGGCTGGACGGAGCCGTTCGACCCCGACGTGCCGGCCGACGTCGTCGCCGCCGACCGCGACCTGCAGTTCCAGATGGGCTGGTTTGCCCACCCGATCTACACCTCACAGGGCGACTATCCTCCCGCCATGAAGGAAATTGTGAGTTAGCCTACATAACGTTATACATCATTCCCTGTGTTCTTATATATGTACGTTTGCTAACAGCGCGGTCGCTTTTGTCGTAGATCGTCGCGTCGTACGATTTTGGTGCCATACAGACTGCCATAGAGGTCTCAACCAAAATGTGAAAGAACCAGCAAGGGTCTTAACCAAAATGTGAAAGAACAGGCAAGGGTCTTAGAAAGCCTTTAATATGTAACAAGGTAGCTTAATTTTGCATCACACATGCACGACTACAACCAATTGCAAGAACGCCCTCAGTTTACGGACGACGATCGGACGACGTAGGTGACAAGGTCCTAAACATACAGGTCTTATCTAGTAACAACTTCGCTGTTGTGGTCTAACAGTACCACACCTTACATAACAGATCCTGCGGAAGAGTCTGGCGCAGGGGTTCCGGGAGTCCCGTCTGCCGGAGTTCACGGCGGCGGAGATTGACTACATCAGCGGTACCTACGACTTCTTCGGGCTGAACCATTATTCATCTGGAATAGTGAAGCACAAGGTCTCAACCGGGCAGGTCAGTGGGAGATGTTTGACTTTTAGCACTTAAAGATACTTTTTAAGGCTCATTGGTCTTGTTTTTTGGCGACACCTTAGGGACGGAGCCAGCATATGTAGTATTTCGCTTTAGGATGCAAATGTTTCTTCTTCGATAAAACAATCGGTTTTCTCATTCGATAGGACCCAAATTTCTGGGGCGACCAGGACCTGGAGTCGACCGTGGCACCAGAGTGGCCCCAGGCGGCTTCCAGCTGGCTCTACTCCGTACCCTGGGGGATCCGCAGGCTGCTCGGCTACATCAAGGTACATCAAAATCTCTACCATGACTTTACGTGTAGGGAATGTTTTCTTGAAGGAAAAGCCCATTGATGCGTTCATTCAATTTTTGTCATGTGCAGTACTACTATTTCCCTATTCCAGTATATTCCCAATAATCAACAAACATGTATCAAGTTGGAGTAAAATGAACTTGTACTTCATGGCGCCAGGTATCACAAAGTACAACCATTGTTCTACAGCAAAACTACAACGATCCTGACATCTACATCACAGAGAACGGCTGGTCTGAAGAGGAGGCGGATCCGCCCATCCTGGAGGACACCGGTCGCCTCTGCTTCTACATGGGGTACATCGACGAAGTTCTGAAAGGTGAGCAGATCTCAGGTGTTACAACAAGCAGTCTGGTACTATAGAAAGGTTCATCTACGTTTCTTTGTGTCACAGATCGCACTGACATTCCTCCCTCTGCCTTTCAATCATCACAGCTATCGACCTGGACGAAGTGAAGGTGCGAGCCTACACCGCCTGGTCGCTGATGGACAACTTCGAGTGGGCAGAGGGCTACACCGAACGCTTCGGGCTTCACTCCGTAGACTTCACCGACCCGAACCGACCCCGAACACCCAAGCGGTCCGCAAGCTTCTACAGGGACGTCATCGCCAACAACGGCTTCCCTGAGGGAGCAGAGGTTACTGAGATGGTGCGGAGTAGGTGGGAGGGGTGCAGGGGAGGTCCGGCGGGCTGGGCGGCCGCTACCCGCGCCAACATAGGGGTGCTAGTACTCTCGGTCATCGTCAATGCAATGTATAACTTTATCAACATGTAGGAGCGTTATAGCCCCGTGAATGCCTTGTCATTCCTGGCTGTTTGTGTTTATTCATGTCGAGAAACCGTTTTTTTACCATTTATTTGATGCTTCCTTGTTGTTCCGCTGGTTTTCAGTTGTTGTTTTTTTACCGCAAGACTTCTATTTTCCACCATGAGACAAAAGAACAGGATTGATATGTGGTGTTGCCGCTTCATTTTGTGTGTGAAATACTACGAAGATAATTCGTATTGAGCCTAAGGGACATTTTTGCTTTGAATTCAATAAAACCTATCTTTAAAAACACCTCTGGCTGACATATCTGTATCGTCAATAATATGAGTGAATCAGTGTTGACCCAGGTTCAACAATCCGTGTACAAATACATACAAACTACTTAGTCGTGTTGTTATAAAGGGTTACATGTACGTACTAGCACATCCATTTCCGACGAGATACTACAGTAATACATTCAGAGCAAGTCATATCTATCCGCATGCATCTGAAAATTAGATTTTATTTTCTGATGTCTGCAAATAATTATTCTTTAATTAGGCCCCAAAGAGTTTTGTACACAATGAGAGAGGTTATATAACCCAATCCCAATCAACTTCTAAGTTGATGAACCGCGATGAACAAATTAAAAATGTCTTGCCTGTCAAAGCCTGGCGTTCTCCGGTTTAGCTCTCACCAATCATTAATCGCCCTACAAATGATTGCTGATTGAAGGTCAGTGTACTTTAGTCAAACCTACATGTAACGGCTGCAGCTATTTGTTAACGTCGGGCCGAAGGGCGGTTGTTACAAGTGCGCTGTAGATCGGTAATCCGCTGCCTGTTCCGTCCCTGGATTCTCGCCATGTTGCTCCTGCTGACCTTCTCTGTGCTGTTGGGTACGGCGTGTTCTGTCGTGTACGACTATGGCGCGCACGACCCAGCCAGGGACGCCTTCCTCCCCGGCCGCTTCCCGGACGGCTTCAGCTTCAGCACGGCCACCGCCGCCTACCAGATCGAGGGCGGCTGGAACGCCAGCGGTAAAGGTGAGTCCATATGGGACAGGTTCTCCCACACACCTGGTAAGGTAGACCGCGGGGACACCGGAGACGTGGCCTGTGACAGCTACAACAAGTACCGAGAAGACGTGCAGCTCATGAAGAGCATGGGACTACGAGACTACCGTTTGTCTCTGTCATGGCCGCGAATCTTTCCCGACGGTACCCTAGCGAGCGGCGTCAATCAAGACGGAGTCGACTACTACAATAATGTCATAAATGAGCTGATCGCAAACGGCATCACCCCGATGGTGACGCTTTACCACTGGGACCTTCCGCAGGTCTTACAGGACAGGTACGGGGGATGGGTGAACGAAAGTCTGGTGGAACACTTCAACGACTTTGCGACCTTCGCGTTCCAGGCGTTCGGGGACAGGGTGAAGTACTGGATCACGTTTAACGAGCCGAAGCCGGTGTGTAACAAGGGGTACGAGACGGGGACGCGCGCTCCAGGTGTCCGGGACCTGACCTTACTGTCTGCCTACAGGTGTGGACATACCATCATCAAGGTAAGCAGTACGCAGCATCTATCCGTGTTCTTATACATATTCCTAACAGGTTGCGCATGGTGTATAGATGTTTGATAATGCAGTTTTGCCAGTCGTATCGTATCCTTTTTAAAGATTATTCGACGAGGAAAATGCGACGACTAGTTGGTCGACCTGAGCAGCTTTAATTTTTCCCCACCAGGCCCATGCGAGGGCGTACCACACATACGACAGAGACTTCAGAATAAGTCAGCGCGGGATCGTGGGGATCACTCTGAACCTGGACTGGGCGGAGCCTCGTGACCCAGACCTGCCCGCCGACGTCCAGGCCGCGGACCGCTACATGCAGATCTACAGCGGCTGGTTCGCTCATCCCATCTACGTGGACGGAGACTATCCGCCATTCGTCAAGGAAGGGGTAAGTAATGGGTGGGCAGGCTACTCTCTCTTTGCAGCCAAGGGCATATTGGGGCGCAATCGCAAGGGTCTGGAGAGGCTGCCATTCGGCACTAACTCAGGTGATCTCAATACGACCCCAGGTTCGGCCATAGGACTGTAGGTCACAGGGTCTGGGGGGAAAGTCAACCTACGTCGAAAGACAAAGCTGCTTCCTAGCTTCATTTAGCCTCCTTCGCAGTCTTGTTGGGCGTCGGCGTTATTTTTTCTCTGAGCGACGCGAGTAATATGCAGCCGCAAGGGACGATTTGCTGCCGAGGGAGTTTTTGCCACGGAGAGAAGGTTTCGCGCTCCAACAAGCCGTGTTCTTCCAACAGGCCCTAATTACTTCAACCAAACGCAAATTAATTACATAACAAATAGAGATTGGAAAGTGTTCACTTACATAGACACAGGAACGATGTTTATCACAAAGCCATTATTTGCTATTTGTACAGTCGTTTAGGTCATGAGGACACTCGGACAGGTTGCTATTTATTCATTTCTGTGGAGATGCCTGCGTTTTCTGACTGTTCTAGTCAGGAGAGTCTGATTGTATATGCTATCGCCCACACAGTATAACAAAATACACGTAATAAAAGCATTTTGGCAACGCCTTAGGAGCAGAGGCTTCTTTTTATATGTTCTGACCTTTCCCACAGTTGCAACAAGTTGGCTTGGCAAATCCGGGGGAAGCCGTCCCGGAGTTTTCCGCGGAGGACAAGACTTACATCGCCGGCACGGCCGACTTCTTCGGCTTGAACCACTACAAAACCCGGATAGTCACAAGCAGAGACATCGTCGTCGGCACAGCAGTAAGTGTTGACGTTGATAATCCGCCCATCCAATTGTAACAGGGCTAATGTGGGCATGACATTTTCATCTGTGTTGGTCGAAAACTCTTTGTCTAACACCAAACCACTTGCCAACGTAGCTTCGATCTTCCTCATGTTTGACTGACCCACTACGTATGACACGTGACCTTTCAGAAATCACACTGCATTGCTCTGAACTGCTAGATGCTTTTTATTAACATGCAACTTTCTCTGCAATTAGGGCCAGACTTTTCGGGACACCATAGAAGCGACCGTAGCACCGGAGTGGCCGCAGTCTGCGTCTAGCTGGCTGTACGTGGTGCCCTGGGGGCTCCGCAGGCTGCTGAAGCATATCAAGGTACAGGACTTCTCTTACAACGTTCTTATCTATTGCCAGTAAAGACACATTTGGACTTGAAAGAAAACATTATAAAGATAATACCGGCCTTGATTAAACTATGTCCTATTTGTCCATCTGTGCATGCATAATGAAGCCTGCTGTCAGCCAAACAGAAACAACTTGCCCAAAAGGAAGCATGTACGTATTGGAAATGGTGTCGGCACACCTGCCAGCAAACAGATCCTGTGACAATGAAATAGACAATACAAATGAAACTTTATTGCATGTTCATTCCCCGGAGGGATAAATGCATGGATGTACAATGTACTAGAGAGTACTAAAACAATAGTAATATAAAAGGCTAACATTAGGTCTAAGGTATATAATGCTAAAAATAAGATAAAAAGAAATATAAATATAAGTGGTATTGATCTAAGTTCTAATGGCTTCTTCTCTCTTTTTGAAACATTTTGAAATATACTTACATACTTCATTGATGACGTCTATATTTGTACATGATATAATATATTTAAAAGTGTCTTCCTTTGATAATGTTTTACATTTTTTGTCGAGCTTAATTGAACTGAACAGTGATTTACGAATACAATAGAAATAGAACGTAAATGCGTCGATGTCTTTTCAGCAAGCCTACGGTGACCCTGACGTGTACATCACGGAGAACGGCCGGTCGGACCCGGACGTCCAGCCGCCCATCCTGGAGGACACCGACCGGGTCTGCTACTACGCGACGTACATCGACGAGGTTCTAAAGGGTAAGCAGCTGCACACGTGAAATCCTATAGCTAAGCCTGTAGTAGGCAGGGAATAATAGCTGCCATTGCATCATATTGCCGTCTTCTTTTTCCTTCAATTCAGCTCTAAAAGGCATAGGAACTGACCTCTACTTGGTATGTGAAAACAAGTAGTTTTTGTTGCCAAGAAAGCCATCCTATCACCATTTTAACGCCGTTGTTGTTACGTTTTTAGCTATAAAAGAAGACGACGTCAAGGTGAAGTCGTACACCGCCTGGTCCTTCATGGACAACTTCGAGTGGGACAAGGGCTACACCGAGCGGTTCGGGCTCATCTACGTCGACTTCACCGACCCCAACCGACCCCGAACACCGAAGAGGTCCGCAAGTTTCTACACCGACATTATCGCCAACAACGGCTTCCCTGAGGGAGCAGAGGTCACCATGATGGTTCAGGACATGTGGGGGAAGTGTCGAGGCTCGTCGGGATCAGCCGGACTCCGTGTTAACAATGGATTTTTAGCTCTTTTTATCACGATTACCGTCATGTGTACCTTCTTAAAATGGAACTAATGTCGTTCATTTACCGCTTCAACAAGTGAAATGGACAACTAATATTGCAGCGTATGAACGAGTACGGAGTAGCAAATTGTTCTAAAGTTATGTACTCAACAATGGTCGTGAGCTCGTGACACGTGTATTGAATGTTCTTGCAATTAGCCCTTGGGCATGAATTTACAATAAACTTTCATTTATTGATTTTAAGTGCATGTCCTAATGTTGAAATTGTTCGAAATAAATATCTCGCTACTGAAATGGATTGATAATTGACAGAGCGGAGGTCTTACGATGAATAGCATATTGTTAAGTATAGGCCGGTTAGGATTAGGCCACATATAAGAAGCCTAATACTAATAGCCTAATAAAAGCTTCAGGGTTCTTAACCATAACAGACTTCCATCTCAAAGCTTCCATCTCACTCAAACACACCCTCGAAAAAAGCAACACGCCGAAAGGTCGACGACCCATCCTAAGGCTACTTAGTACGAGGGGTGTTCAAAAAGTTCTCGGCCTCACCTAGAAAATAAAGGTCAAACTCCTATTCTTTGGTATAGCTGTATACTATGACGTCTTACATCACTGCGCACAAAAATTCAAATTTTTGTATTCATTAATGAGCACGTGACGCCCCGTGAAAATGGGGTGGGTGAGGGCAAATCACAAAATGGCCGCAAAAGAAGCGTGTGCTGTGATCAAGTGTATCGATAAAAAAGAAAGTCTCCTAAGGACATCCATGAAGACATGGTCAAGACACTTGGTGATGACTCCCCTTCTTATTTAAATATAAAGAACGGGGTTACTAGCTACAATCGCGGCAAGGAGAGCACAAAAGATAAACATAGGTCAGGATGCCACAAATCAGCACCACGGACAATCCAGTTGAGGCCATCCATCACATGATAGTAAATGACAGATGTGAGACTGTCCAACATGTAGCAGGTTCTTTGGCCTGTGTTATGACTCAGTTCACAATATTTTGTCGAACATCCTGGGGATGAACAAACTGTCTGCATGGTGGGTGCCTCGAATGTTTTTTGAACATCAAAACTTAAACAGGCTTGACATTTCAAGGAACGAATTCAGTCCAATTCATTCAGTTTCCTCAAAACATTTGTCACTCAAGATGAGCTGGGTTCACCACTTTCACCCCGAATCAAAACAACAGAGCAAACAATGGATGAAGAATTTTTCCCGCCCCCCAAAGAAGTTTTAGCGAGTTTCGTCCGTTGACAGGGTTTTTGCCTCTGTTTTCTGGGACAGTAAGGAAGTAATCATGATTGACTACATGCGAAGGGGTTAAAGCATCAATGGGGAGTACTATAAAACAGAATTACGACATTTGAGGGCAACGATCAAAGAGAAAAGGAGAGGAAAGCTCCGAGCTGGCGTAATGAAAATGCACCTGTCCACACAACACAGGGGTCAGCGACAGCAGCAAACGAATTTCGGTTTGCAGTCTAACCCCACCCTTCCAATTCACCTGACCTAGCACCCTCGGACTTCTACCTGTTTCCTAAACTCAAGTTCCACTTACGTGGTCAACGTTTTGATGGTAATGATGACGTCATCTATGCGGTATAGGCCTATCTGGGGGTCCAGATGCAACCTTCTTCCACAAGGGGAAAATAAAGCTGGAACATCACTGGACCAAGTGCATTGCAGTTAGAGAGGACTATATTATAAAATAGTTTAAGAAAAATTTTACTGCCCTGACGTTTTCTAGGTGAGGCCGAGAACTTTTTGAACACCCCTCGTAATTATTAACCTAATCAATAACCACTTTATTTGATAACTAGTCGTGTTCTCAAAGAAAACGTAGCTCAGAGGTCAGAGTTCCCTAACGACTAGACGGGACGTTCGGTGTGTTAACGTATATAACGTTAAATCGAAGCCCACAGCCTGTCGGAGTTTTTTGAGCTTGCAGGAGCTTAATTTTTTGTAATAGCAGGTTCAAAATGATGTTTTTATGGACCTTCTTTGTGGTGATGAGTGCAGTGTACTGTGCTGAGTACGACTATGGAGCGTACGACCCGGCCAGGGACGCCTTCCGTCCAGGCAGGTTTCCCGACGGCTTCATCTGGAGCACGGCCACGGCGTCCTACCAGATCGAGGGCGGCTGGGACGCGGACGGCAAAGGCGAGTCCATCTGGGACAGGTTCTCCCACACACCTGGTAACGTAGACCGCGGGGACACCGGAGACGTGGCCTGTGACAGCTACAACAAGTACCGAGAAGACGTGCAGCTCATGAGGAACATGGGTCTGAAGTACTACCGCATGTCTCTGTCATGGCCGCGAATCTTTCCCGACGGTACCCTAGCGGGCGGCGTCAACCAAGCTGGAGTCGAGTACTACAATAATGTCATAAATGAGCTGATGGCAAACGGCATCACCCCGATGGTGACGCTTTACCACTGGGACCTTCCGCAGGCCTTACAGGACAGGTACGGGGGGTGGGTGAACGAAACGCTTGTAGAACACTTCAACGACTACGCGTCATACTGCTTCCAGACGTTCGGCGACAGGGTGAAGTTTTGGCTGACGTTTAACGAGCCGAAGGTCGTGTGTGACAACGGGCACATCACCGGAGAACACGCCCCCGGCATACAGGACCGGACCCTGCTGACCGGATATCGGGCTGGACACACGCTGCTGAAGGTATGAGGTCTACACGGCATGTTTACTCACGCTTTATTGTTGATATAACAGGAATAACAATCGGACTCAGTAGTGCACTTGCAACATGTAAGGAGCAAAAGTTACCTAACTTTTAACCATTGTTGACTGGCGTTTAGGTGGACGCAGCCGTCTTTATAGATTGCTTTTGGGCAGCCATAAAGGTGATGTGACCTTACAATCGCCCTTCCACCTCCGTAAAAAGGTAGGAATGCGAAATAAAAGCATAAACATTAAAATTTGATAGGCATTCATCCACGCTCTTATTGGTCGAAGCGATAATACTTGAACTGCGCATGCTAACTGTTTTGGATAGTCATCAGGATCGGTCCGTTGACAGCACTGTAATGCTCTTACCTTTATTCCCTTTACTTCAGGCTCATGCCAGGGCGTGGCACACATACGACAGAGACTTCAGAGCAGCTCAGGGCGGCAAAGTTGGAATCACCCTGAACCTGGACTGGGCGGAGCCTCGTGACCCAGACCTGCCCGCCGACGTCCAGGCCGCGGACCGCTACATGCAGATCTACAGCGGCTGGTTCGCTCATCCCATCTACGTGGACGGAGACTATCCGCCATTCCTGAAGGATGAGGTAAGTTTAGCATTCCTTATTAGTGGGTATGAAGTCTCTAGCATATTGTGACGGAGGTACAAGAATTGAGACGTTTGTTACACGATTAATTTGGGTGGTTGAGCTTTGGGTCTCTGTGTCTGTCCGGAAAGAGTAGGTTGATAGCACGTGGGTCGGGGAAAGGTTGGTGGGCAGGATGGCACATGAGGTCAGAAGGTCAGGCACGGGAAATGGGAAGAACTTAATAGTACGTTGACAGCACGTGGGGGGGGGCAGAAGATTCACGGGCAGAATGACAGGAGGTAAAAGATCAGACACAGGAAACGGGGTAAACTTGAAGGTCCCCCCCAAAAAAAAAATACCTGCCGGGCTTCTGTAAACTACGATTTCGTATAAAAACTGTGAATATTAGTAAACTTGAGCAAATTCTAGGGCACAAACTGCATCCATGCTACCGAAACAGTGTGTAATATAATTCCGTTTCTGTCACAGCTACAACAGCTCGCTCAAGCTAACCCGGGGATCAACTCGCTGGTGTTCACTCCAGAAGACAAGGAGTACATCCGGGGCACGTCTGACTACTTCGGATTGAACCATTACGTCACTCGCATCGTCGCAAACAGAGACATCGTTATCGGCCCGGTAAGTAATGACTTGAAATGATAAAACGTCTAATGGTAAAAGTTTTGTTATATACACCACTTCATTTGTGAAATATCACATATACAGCATGATCCTTGAACTCCCTAAGACGTGTCCGCTGTGTGTATTCAAGTAATATCGACCTCTTCCTATGAAATTAGGGCCAGACGTTCCGAGACACCTTTGAAGCGACCGTCGCGCCGGAGTGGCCGCGAGCAGAGTCCAACTGGCTGTACGTGGTGCCCTGGGGGCTCCGCAGGCTGCTCAAGCACATCAAGGTAAAGGACTTCCCTTTACTATCTACAGAACATCACAAGTTTGCAGTGAAATCAGATAATATTGAAATCTAGCATTACGGTTTATTAGAATACCTACTGATAGACCCTTAAACTTTCTCGTCGTTTTCAGACGAACTACGGTGACCCTGACATCTACATCACGGAGAACGGCCGGTCTGACGGTGACGTCACGCCGCCCATCATAGAGGACACCGACCGGGTCTGCTACTACGCCGGGTACATAGACGAGGTGTTCAAGGGTAAGTATTAAAAGTATTAAAAGCTGTACCATCTAATATAATCATCTCCTTCGCCAAGAAGTTTATGTTTTTTTTTTGGTTTTGGTATAACGTACAGACATTACATACAGACGTTCTAACGCTGCGTTACCATTGCTGTAGCTATCAACGAGGACGGCGTAAAAGTGAAGTCCTACACCGCCTGGTCCTTCATGGACAACTTCGAGTGGGCCCGAGGATACACCGAACGCTTCGGGCTTCACTATGTCGACTTCACCGACCCGAACCGACCCCGAACACCCAAACAGTCCGCTGGATTCTACAAGGACGTCATCGCTAACAACGGCTTCCCTGAGGGAGCAGACGTCACCAGGATGGTCCAGGACATGTGGGGGGAGTGCCGGGGGTCGGGGACGGCGAGCATCGGTGTCAGTGGTGGACTGTTGGCTGTGTCTCTATTGGTTATTGCATTGCATGTCGTCATGAAATTGTAGGGATGCCGTAAACACTTCTTGTAGGGATAGTTTTCATTTGTAGAAGCGTCTAGTTTTTCGTGATGACATATGCCTGTATGAAAAAGATCACTGATAAAAGATGGTCATCAAAAGATAACGCATGTTGTCTATATTCAGTAGTGCCATTGCGCTAAGCTATCAAACTGTTACTGATTCTGCAGCTGGCGAACCCTTGAACATGGTAAACTAAAACATATGTATGACGTTAAATGGTCTTTTGTTGATAGATAAGAACATCCGAGGAAAAAAATTCTGTAGAACCCTATAGTTCCCCGACGCCATACTAATATCATACCATTGTGAATTATTGCATGCCACATAGCTCATATAGATAAAATAAAAACTTAACACTACAAACATTACATCTGTTGGTGATCTTCTCTGCCTATGTTACATATTTCCCAATGCAGTCCTACCCTGGCACATCAAATACATGTATCGTTAAGATCCATCAAGAACTTCCCGAGAACATAGAGAAAGTTGTTACACATTGGTCCAGAGCACTCTCTCCTATTACTATCACCATTGCCTACATCGACATGTTTCTTCCATACTTCTTAATGCAGCATAAACAACAATCACAATATAGCGCAGTCCTAAGTACGGTTAGATATTAACTAATGGCGGAACAGAGATAGTTTAAAGTTCAACCGAGCCTGGCGTTTTAAAGTTTACTGTGCAGTGGCTACAGATCGACTGACGTGGTTAGAATGTTAGTCGCGTTGAGTTTGTGTGCGGTCCTAAGCACGGTGCACTGTGCTGTGCAGGACCATGGTGCTTACGATCCCGCCAGGGACGCCTTCCTACCAGGCAGATTTCCTGACGGTTTTATTTGGAGCACATCGACCTCCGCTTACCAGATCGAGGGCGGCTGGGACGCGGACGGCAAAGGCGAGTCCATCTGGGACAGGTTCTCCCACACACCTGGTAAGGTAGACCGCGGGGACACCGGAGACGTGGCCTGTGACAGCTACAACAAGTACCGAGAAGACGTGCAGCTTATGAAGAACATGGGTCTGAAGTATTACCGCATGTCTCTGTCATGGCCGCGAATCTTTCCCGACGGTACCCTAGCGGGCGGCGTCAAGCAAGCTGGAGTTGACTACTACAACAACGTCATAAATGAGCTGATCAGAAACGGCATCACCCCGATGGTGACTCTTTACCACTGGGACCTTCCGCAGGCCTTACAGGACAGGTACGGGGGGTGGGTGAACGAAAGTCTGGTGGAACACTTCAACGACTTCGTATCATTTGCATTCAAGAGCTTTGGGGACAGGGTCAAGCTGTGGTTAACCTTCAACGACGCAAAGATATTATGTAACGACGGCTACCTGACCGGCCAGCACGCTCCAGGCGTTCAGGACCCAAGCCAACTATCCAGCTACCTTTGTGGACATAATATCTTGAAGGTATAGTACCAACATTTGGTACCTTATTTAATGTACGGTACCTAGATTGTTAAAAGGGTAAAACAAAAAGCAGAATGCCATCTACGTACTGTCACGAAAATCTAGATCAATGACACCTGATCTGCACACATATTAAGTGACATCTTTGTCGACATGGGCATCAACAATTCTTCACAACTTTCTGTTCACCTTTTCCAGGCCCATGCCAAGGCGTGGCACACATACAACACCACCTTCCGAGCAAGTCAAGGTGGGAAGGTTGGAATAACCGTCAGCCTGGACTGGGCAGAGCCCCAGGATCCCGACCTTGCGGCCGATGTGGCGGCGGCAGATTATTACATGCAGGTCTCTAACGGCCAGTTCGCACATCCCATCTATGTCAACGGTGACTACCCACCTGACTTCAAAGTCTTGGTGAGTTGTGATACTTTTACTTTATGGAGATGAGCTGTAATACCTTTAGTTGTTGGTGAGATGTAATACCTTTAGTTGATGGTGATGAGTTGTAATACATTTAGTTGTTGCAGATTAGCTGTAATACCTTTAGTTGTTGTTGAGTAGAAATAAATTCTTTAGTTGTTGGTGAGTTATAATACCCGCTGCACATCCCCCCATCCGGATCCACAAACCATCTCTGCAAAGTTCCGCTCGACTGTCCTTCTCCAAGTCATTGCTTGGCCTCTCCTCTTCCTTTTCCCTGCTGAACACCAGTTCAGAAAGTCTCCTCACCCCTCACGTACAGTGATTCTCCTCAACCTCTACTCCTCAGGTCCAGAAACTCAGGCAGGCATTACCAGATAAGGACGTCCCGCACTTTACCGACGAAGAGAAGGCCAGCATTCGTGGCTCGTCGGACTTCTTCGGCCTGAATCACTACACGAGCCGTATCGTCGGGCACAGGGATACCCCTGCTGGGAAGGTGAGCGTTGTGGATACAAATGATCCTGTACAGGCGACTGGAATAGACCAATCCTGGTTGTCCATTACAATTAACAGTTCAAACAATAATAACAATTATCGGTTCGCCAATGAGAGCTGGCTGGATGTCCGCCAAATATGTGCATTTTCTGCGTCCGTGGTCATGATGGTGGCTCTATTCTTAAAATGATACAGTTGAAAGTACATACATCAATTCTACTTTAGTTAATCTCATACAGCATGTTGGTAGATGTTGCATATTAGTTGCATAGCAGTCACAACATCCACTAGTCCATCCACTGAGATGACCAACAGTTTGTAAATTAGTGAACCCCAGAGAGGCAACAACTCTGTTGTAACTATTACTATGTTGTTGTTTACAGGGGCCTCTGGACAACATCAACATCACGACATCTCCAGCCTGGCGGCGCGCTGCGTCTGACTGGCTGTACGCTGTGCCATGGGGCATGCGCAGAGTGCTCAAATACGTTAAGGTACCTGTCCAACTTAACATTACAGACCTTGTTTTACTAAAGAGTTCAATAGGACCCATCACTACTGAAAGAAAGCGTCTTGGTAGTCAGCTCTGTCAGTTGATGATAGCATCAATGTTGTATGAAGATTACAGTGAAATTATATGACAATCTTTGTAAGGACACGTTTGGCGACCCCGAGGTCTACATCACAGAGAACGGTTGGTCTGACGGTGACGTCACTCCGCCCGTCATGGAGGACACCGGCCGCATCTGTTACTACATGACGTACATCGATGAGGTACTAAAAGGTATGTTTATGTAAGTTTACCTTGTATAATGATAAGCTCTCCCTCCTATGCTTGTTTGTACACTTCAATCATTACAATTGGGGGTAGTGAATGAACGTCTTGTCTGTGCGTATGTACATGTATGTCACAGTGTGTTGTATGTGTACCCAACACACATGGGTGCATTGATGTGGGACTGGAAAGTTTGCAAAGCAGGATGGGTAAGGGGGTGAAGTCTGTCGTCATTGAGAAGTAACAGAAGGGCACCACAGCCACAAACGTAGTCAAGTATAGCAGTTTTTTTCACATTACTGACTTAGGAACAAAACCAGATCATTTCTACATGTTTCCATTGGCATTGATAGCCTCACCATTTTACTGTATGCCTATTAACTGTCCTTCTCCTGCATTGTTCTGCAGCTATTAACTATGACAAAGTGAATGTTAGAGCATATACTGCCTGGTCCATAATGGACAACATGGAGTGGCAAAATGGCTACACTCTGCGGTTTGGACTGTACTACGTTAACTTCACCGACCCAAACCGGCCTCGGACACCCAAGCTGTCAGCTGGAGTCTACAGGGCCATCATCACTAACAACGGCTTCCCTGAGGGAGCAGAGGTTACCAGGATGGTGGAGAACATGTGGGGGGAGTGTCAGAATGGCAGTGTCGTCAGGAAGGAGCTGTAGAGCATCATTTTCAAACAGCAATTGTTGTATTTTGGCTCTGTGATATACAGTATAGGCAATGGGGGTAAGGGATGACTACATGTGGCCTAAGGAAGGGGAGGGTCAACTTGGTGCTGGGTGATGCAGCCATGACAGTGTGTGTTAGTGTCTGACACTTACAGGAAGTTGGGTCAAAAGTCCCAGATTTGTAGCAGAGGTTTAATATCTCATTTCCTGTTTGTCAGCATGATTGCAGGGGTGTGACTGTGTCATCTCTTGTTATCAATACATAAAGGAAAATTTTTCTTGCCATATTTGATATTCTTTAACCCTTGTCCTGCTGGCATTCCTGGCACAATATTTTTCAATAATTTCATGTCTTAATTAGATCATAGACCCCCAAATTTTTTTGCCCTGCAGTGGCATAGTTACTTCCGCATTTGTTGCGTTTTGCTGCGGTGTGATGCGTTGCACGAGAAATACCCCCAAATCGTACCTATACAGGGTGTTATATAGATGGTACTGTATGTGTCGCGCGACATATGTTGCGCACAGCAGGATAAGGGTTTTAACATGTAGAAACCTACAAATTTGCAAGACAGACATTCCAAAACTTTGTGAGCCCCAGTCTTAAGTACAATATGCACAAAGACAACAGGACAGCAAAATAAGATGGGTATCAATAGGAATAACACAAACATGGAAATGACACAAGTCTGGACATAAAACAGCATATATTTACAGTTTACAGTTAACTTGGCAAAGCAGCACCTAGAAAACTACATTTCCTATTTGCTATATGAAAATACTTTTCTGTACATTTATAAGGCAATGCTTGAGACAGAGTACATGTAACTACATACCTTTTTTGGTACTGTGGAGTTAGTTGACTAAACACTTGTCATACCAAATGTTTAGAAAATGTTGAGGCATTGTCTACAGTGAAATGTTCTTTTACAAGAATCAACAAAAATTGGTCTTTCTAACACAATGCAGCAGCAATTTGGAATTGTAAGCAATAGGCAAATTTCACTTGCAAGGCACTTTTCATGAACAGCTGAGCTCACGAACAACACAATGATTATTTGTGGTCCTAAAACTCCATCAGAAACAAAGATATACGGTTTGGAGAGAATGATAACATCACAGTTATTTGTGAATTTGGTTAGAGCATTAAGCACAATATCCTCTTTACTATACTTAAGATAATACTATAAACTGTGATACTGAAGCAAAGCAAACATCTTTAACATCTACAAATCAAAAATCCTTTAGCAATGAAAGCATATTCAGCAGCAAAAAAATTTCTCAGGCCATAGATACACGTTGTACATTATCTCTCAAGTATTGAATATGTTGAAGATGTTACAATATAAAAGCAGTCTGTACCATACATGATTCTCAAACAAACCCTTTAAATAAATGAATGGCCAACTGTCCTTCCCTGTCAAAAAAGCTGTTGCAAGCACCCTGTATTTATCAATTTGACACTACCATTGGGCTTTTGTATATGGAACTTAAATACACATTGCTAGTGCCTTGATAGCTTTTTATCGGTACAATATTTAAAAATGCAATTTGTATGATTCCAATTTATGAATAAAACATCTAAAACCTATTGTGATTAAAACAAAGCAGCTGATAAACTACTAACATTGTGATGTGCGGTGTTGCTACTGGTTTGAGTCTTTAACTGTAGGAAATTAACAATGCAACAATTTCTGTAACCTCTTCCAAAGTAAGATTTTATGGCAGGTGTCACTTGTTGACACAATGATGTTGTGGCAAATCTATGGCATTGCATTCATCTATATAAACTTTATCATAATCACTATTAATATGCTTTTGAGAACAGCATAAATACCCCCAGCATTCCACAGAAACACAATTAACAAAGGACTCTTTATAAATTGACACGTGTTCCATTCAGGTTTCAACATAGTAATGATCTTAAATCATGATTCTGATGTACTAGTTCAAATGCCTTACACTGAGGCAAGAAACAGTTTAAAAGACAACCATTCTTTCATTCTAATACATTATCATTGTTTCCTTTTCATCACCCTTATCCAGAGTACAGGGGAAAGTACATGATACTCTACTCATAGCCAAATACCATTCAGGTACCTTTATCATAATTTCAATATAGATACAGTATCCACTGCACGAAAACAACCTCTACCCCCCATATACAACATGGCTCTTTACAAACCACACCTTCCATGTCACCAGTCGTCTGGTAGGATACTGATGGTCAACCCTTTCTCTCTCCATCTGTACTGCTTTGGCACCACAAGCTGAGGAAATACAATACACAGATGACATCAGTTACAGGTACACAGAGATGCAAAACAGTTCAGCATCATATTTTATAGCAAGACAGGTATAATCAAAGAAAACTAGTTTCTTAAATGTGCCATCTGGTAATCTGTAGAAGAGCCTTACAGATCTTTTTTACTTCCCAGATATGTGATCCTAATAAAAATCAGAACAAATTCTAGGCAATTAGGCCATCTAAGACTCAGACATTTATAATGTTAGACTTTGGCACATCTTCCCATTGGAAGCCAAGCCAAATAAAGTTATTAGAAAATTAGATAACAAAGGTGCAAAGAGGCTTACTTCTTCTGTGCTGGACAGCTCCTCCAAGTCTTTTATGACTGCTTCTAGAAAATCTTCTGGTATAAGAACCTATAGGATCAAACACATTGGTAAATTACGTTCTACTTCACTGTTATACAACATTCTGAACATTAAAAAATCATGGTTTACACTGCACAAAGCGTAGATAACAAAACACATTTGGACATGTATTCAGCTTACCTGTAACCATGGCCCTCTGGAAGCATATGGGTGGCTTTCATCCGCTATGGCTCCCATCACTCTTGGTGACACAAATGTTATTGCAGAATTCCCTGACACGTCCTTGAATGTGAAGTGACGTCCGTGTTTCAATCTCCCCCTGAAAATACATATGCACAAAGGCATGAAAATAGCATCCAAGTTACATACACTAGTGAGTATATCTCTACATGGCAGCAAATTGCAGCATCCTCTGGATGAAAGACAGTGGACCAATCCTTACTGTCTTCTGCATGTCTTACAACATGCTTCACAGATTTTTGTTAAACTTAAGAAACCCACAGTCCTTACCTCATGACTAGTGGCAGTAGAGTCCCAGCCTCCTTGTTAATTTTGACATGTACAGCATCCATGGTCTGGCTCCTCTGTAGCTCGCCTGGCTTCACCTCCTCTGTACTGCCTGAACTGCTCAGGGAGTCTTTCCTCTCTCTAAGAACAGCCATTTAAACAATTAATACCACTGCAATTGCAATGTCTCTTACATCATCATAAATACAACATGAATATCTAATGATATCATGGACAACTTTTTAGTCTTCTCATATCCTGAGTAATGAAATTACAGTAAAAACTGCCTAAGTAGAGCTAGCACTCAGGGATCTGACAACATCTGGCCTATATGTACAGGTGATCACAATAGACAGGACTCTTTATGCGTCAAAAAGTAGTCACATCGGCTAGCTAGGTTTGACTGTATTATTGTACCAAACAACACAGAACCAACACCTGATGTGAATGAAGTTCTGTGTCCACCTTACCTGTCTGTGTTGTGGTTGACATGATCCGTCCAGTCGGCACCTGCCCCGGTTCCAAACCCAGCCGCCCCTGAGCCATGTTGTCCCATCAACCCCCTCCTCAGCTCTGCCTTGATTTGCTCTGATTCTGAAGTCATGGAAAATATAGTTAGCCTTGTTAACATTCTCCAAGAGCCAGCTTGACCTTCATCTTACAACCTATTTTTTTTCCAGCCAGCTTTCCTGATTACTTTTGGGAGCAAAGTAATTGAAACCAACACCTAAACTTGGCAGGCGGGCAACACCCTCAGCTCAGACATACCAGAAAGTTCCAGATGCAACAGTGTGGTTACCAGGCTAAAAGTATAGGTACCTATTATACAAAAACTGGATCGTTTGGAGTAAAAAGAGTTGAGCACAAAGGACAGGTGGTTAATATCACTCACTGTTACACCCTGCATTGTTCACATTAAGTTCCTTCAGTAATAATGAACTTAATCCATATACCAGGGTAACAAAGTCAGCTATTGGAAGACACCCTACACGGCCACATACATGTACACATACCATGTGGTGTTATACGCTGTCTGACTGTTTCCTCTGATTCTTCTCTTTCTTCTCGGGAATCTTCCATCTCTTCCCAGCTGCACTTGGCGCTCACACCACTCAGGTTGGAGCCCTCAGTCTCAATTCCTCTCTCAACAACCTCCTACACACAAGAACAACCAAGTGAGAAATCTTTGGATAAAACAGGACTTCATAAAGTCATATATAGTGTTCAGGCAATCTTGTTAATCTTTTTTGTTGAGAGATTTATAAAGGACCACAGGTTGCTGCTCTGAAACAAACACATCTATTGCTGGTTGAAAGTCAGCATCACACAGCATTGGGAGTCTAAATCACAGCATAGTATGCTAGCTTGAATACATATGGTTTGCCCTACTCACCTGAAGTTGTGGGTCCTTCTCAAAGATGGTTTCACCTCTTCTCATGTCAGTAAGAAGCCATGGTCCCCCTGCACTGTGGAATGAGAGAAAATGGTAATCAACATCGAACATCTTTCACCTCCAAGCGCACTGGAAATAGCAAAATTTCTTAAGACTAGGTATCAAACAATCATTTTTAGACAACCTACATCCAACTCCTGCACTGTGACATTACCAGAATCATCCACAAATGGTACTAGGAATACAGCTTTCTTTGAGCGTGTAACCCATTAAAGGAAAAGGCAGTACAGCAGTACTACAGTTATTGGAATACCTACACTGGCACATTCCGCAGCAGTTCCAGGATTCCTGGACCGTTCCATCTCTGTGCAGCCTGCAGCTCCTCTGCAGTCACTCCAATAATCTAAAACAACATGGCATTGGTCACTCTTACAGTCACTAAAATCTTTTCAACCTGTTACAGCCTCCGGCAGTATAGGATTAACATGTCTGCTCTTACACATGTACAAGTGAAGAGATGTAGTCAACATAGAATCTTTCTTATCTTCATAAAAATGCACAAGAAATTGAGAACAATGCTTAGCTCTATCATTAACAGTTAGCATAACCATAGATTGTGTATTACATAACATAAGGTCTATACCTGTATAAAGTTGATGGTGCCCATTGGGGACATGATAGACTGTAGGAGAGGGTCCTCTGCCATAAGCATGTGCTGAATACGAGACTCACTGCTGTCCAGGGCATTGTGCCAGGACACATGATCACCAGCACACAGGACATTGTCTGTTAACCAGAAATATATTCATTAAGTCTTGCATACATATTTATACTACAGTGTATTACAAAACAAGCACACAGTTCATCAATCCTAAGATTTTTCACTAGAACATGAACATATATGTAATTGTACATCAGATCAATAATATGTTCTCATGATTTTTTGATCGACATGATCAGTGAGTTGCTTGCCAGTACATAAACTTAGTCTTTCTACTTTCTTTACCTCTGCAATGAGTTAACTAATACTTAAAGCTACAGGGATATTACAGACATCTGACAATTCACAAGCCATCTCAACTCTTTACCAGTAAACAATGTTTTGAATCTTTCTCTTCCTCTTTCTCTACCTTACGGTAGTACCTATATGTAAAAAGTTACAATGTACTACTACAATGTAGTAACAAACACACACAATAAAGATAAATTATCATTCTGTGAGCATGGTACACTGTATTTAGACACTGAACAAGATACACACACAGTATGAAATGTAAAAAATCTTCCTTACGATTGCTCTCCTCACCTGACTGGAAGACATATCTGGCCAAGGTCTGCATCAGGGCAGCAGGCCAGGTGGGCGGGGCCGTTTCACCAGTCTCCTTCTTTAGGCGGATTGTCAGCTCAAATCCAAAGCCACTCGGGCCTTCCGGGCCAGTGTATCTAGGGATTAAAACACAAGCCTAAGTCAGAGGGTCAGTAAACATAACATGTAGTACTGTACTGTTATGCTAACTTATAGTTGTCTTGTTTGCAATATCTTGAATAAGGAGCCAGAGACAAACATTATACAGTACTTACTCGTGCACTCTGCCATCTCCGTACAGATCAGAGAGACCGAAGCTGACATAATGCCAGTGTGCAGGGATGCCTCTGTTTGGGTCTCCTGGGTTAGAATACATGCTGATGTAGTCTAACGGGTCCGGACCACCCAACCTAGCAAAGCAGAAAAAAAGAGAGTTTATTTATCATTCGGATGATTTGGCATAGCAACACTAACCTATTATGGTTGACGAAGAATAAAATACACATACCTCTGCTATTATTTTTTGTCTTTTAACACTTGTAACCTTGCTTGGGAGCGCTTCTTTCAAACAGCATTCCTAAAAAATCTGCCTGAAGAAAGAATTCTGTTCCCACACACATCAGTCTTTTTCCTACTCTCCAAGCAGAGGTATGGGTTTTGGGGGTATTTTTAGCGTGTTTTTAGGCTTTTTTATCGGGGTTTCTCTTTTGCACTGAATTTTTTTTCCACCAAACCCAACCTCTGCAGGCAGTCGAAAACTTCAATGGGCTATAAACCTAATCATTTCAACACATTTCAGTCGTTCTGCAAGGAGGTGTGAACCAGACGCATGAATAGGTACAGTCAGCAGGAGGCGTGTGGCCCAATGAATGCCTTTCCGACTGCCTAGATGTGTGATAATCCACCACAATAAAATGGATATCCCTAATGACAGTTTGATGGTTCCCGGGGAGGGGCACTATCGCCTGTTTTGAATAGGTTTGCCCCTCCCCGAGGTGAGTGCCGGCAGAGGTTGGGTTTGGTGGAAAAAAAAATTCAGTGCAAAAGAGAAACCCCGATAAAAAAGCCTAAAAACACGCTAAAAATACCCCCAAAACCCATACCTCTGCTTGGAGAGTATCTTTTTCCTAACTGCAGGGTATATCCTAAATGGAGAGCAGGCCACCTTTCCCAGGCCCTGGCCACTGACTGACTGACATGGACATGACCTCTACATACTATTGATAGTACTGCCCCCAACAGAGTTTTAACCACTAACCGTTCCACCACACAGAGTCACTATCAGGTTTACATTTTAATGGCAGTGTCCAATGGTGGCACCTCCAGCAAAGGTTATGGCCCTCCTCCATTGTGTTCAAAGCCACTCAATAGACTAAATATGAATAATGGAGAGAGACCATGGACGCAAATACTAGTAACTGTCCAACCAGATTCAAATATTGTATTGTGTGCATTGTACCTTGTTCTGTCGTTGCATTCTGTTACTTCTAGCTTATCAATCATCTTTATTCAGAACTAATGAAAGAAAGTTACTAATACTAGTGGATGTAGTAGTGGTAGATATGGTTTGAGCAAGGAGGTTCACTTCAATGCAAGACCTCTTGTATTTAACCTCCTTGGTTTGAGTAATGTTGATTCATTCATTCATTGCTGTTCTCATATGTGCAGGACAAAGGAATACATGTGACATACAAACCTTTATTTTAGAGTAATTGAAATGTATACAAAGAGGACAAATTCACACCTCTTCTGCATCATCTACATTCACACAACATCAACATATTACAACACCTGATGGTACAATTTAGAGATCCTTTGATCTTAATTACATTTCTTAATTACTAGTGTGTAGGTGTGAATAGGCCCCAATTAACACAACTTCAAACAGCAACAATGGATAATACAGATGATGCTGAATAAGCTATAAAGTCCTCATGGACCCCCTGCCTTGTAAAACCTGCTATTATATGGAAAAACGCAGGCTCTTACACCACACATCCCCCACAGAGAGGATCAGGAGACTGAGTGAATGTAATGCTATACCTAACTGTTGGACTTTAAATTCTGTAGTTAGGCTCAACTCTTACTAAAACAGGTTAAGAAAACAAAATTTTATGACATTACAGATCACTTCATAATAAACCCTTAAAATCATTGCCAACCTAAGGAAATTTTCAGACACATGACTAGCCTGGATGCCAGACCCAAAGCACACTGGACACACAGTGTTCTCCCCAGAAAATTTTAGTATGAGGGAGGAAACTTACCGAGCACACACTAAGCGACGCGCAACGCGCGTCGCCGGGGGGGTGGTCCGGAGGGGGGTGCCCCCCCCCTCCGGAGGAGGAAGCTATAGCATTTTGACTGTTATAAATAGAAATGGAGGCCATTTCCTGCAATTTCAGCCTTCTGTCTTTCCTAAATATACAACTTACACATAATAGCTTAAGAGACTCCAACACCAAGTTGAAAGAAAAGAAATGGCACATTTAACCATGATTTAACTTCAAGATCAAGGTGTTGGGACTCTTCTAGCTTATTACTATAATTGGAAACTCAATTTGTATGTGGTTGTCATTATGCATTTATTTGCCGGTAAATGTGTAACATTATAACAAGACAGGTAACAGCATCTTATAGAAGTCACAAGAGGATACATCTCCTTTATTTGTAGTTCTGCACCAAGCAGTGCAGCACTTGTATACACTACTACTAGAACAGTCTTCACTATAGCAGGGTTCTCCCCAGGATTTGAGAGGCATGGCCCCCCCTCCAGAGGGGGGAAGCTGAAGCATTTTTCTTTATCTAAATACAAATGGAAGCCATTTCCTGCAACTTCAGGTTTTGAACTGCCAGAAAAAAATGTTAACATACAGGAAAAAATTGGGCATAGGTTCCACGCTCTGACCCCTAACCGGGGGCCAACGGTGCCTTCAAGTTCGACAATTGAAACAGAATATGACATTAAGTCATACATTTTCCACTTGGAACTTGAGGCAAGCAATTATGGGAAAATGTAGAGAAGCTGGGACAAAACCTTATCCTAATGCTAATCCTTATGTTATCACCAACTTGTAAACAAGTCCCTTATAATTATCAAAGTACCATCAAGAGTACCATCAAAACAAAATTTCACTTCTCTAACATTAAATAATCGGTCCCATGTTTAGGACTAACAAAGTTACACATTCAAGAAAATACTTTTGAATTTAAAAAAAAAAAAAGAAAAAAAAAGAAATCTGAAGAAAAAAATATTAATCTGCACAACATTTTATTGGTTTCTATCTCTTTGCTTGTCTACAAGTCGATAATGTGATTGTATCAATTTTCAAACGCCCTAAAATTAGCTAAATCGGCGAATTAAGGTGATTGCGCAATTGACGTGCCCTATGACCTTCGACCTTTTGGGGGTCATGCAGGCGTCAACAGTGCCCTCCCCATGCCTTGCCCGTCCGTTTTCGTCGGCAAATTTCTGCTTTTTTAGAGGTTTTGAGACCTTAAAACTCATACCATGGGAGAAATAAACCACATACGTTATTTTTATGGTAAATATCGCTAAAATGGACCATGCATTTTTTTGTCGCGTTGCCGATTTTTGGCAGAAGCCTTGCGGTGCGGCCGCCATGTGCTACGCCGATAGGTACAGGCCGTCCCCCGTCCGGGTTTGTGGGCAAAATTCAGCTTTTTTTTTAACGTTTCGGGACTTAAAAACCGACAGCAGGGGAAAAATAAATCGTATACGTTATTTTCATGGGAAATACCGCTATCATGAACCAGACATTTTCTGTCGCGTCAACGAATTTCGCGGCCGCCACATGCTTCATAATTTCGCGGTACGGTAGGGAATTTTCTACGGTTTATAAGTTCGTAAACGTATCGGCTTTTATTTTTAAACTTATTATCAGGGTCGAGGGCTTTGGTTTACAAAGAAATCAGACAATTAGCTTTCTTTACACGACTTTAAAACGCTAGCGGGGCGCCCGATGTTCCACCAATGACAGCGATTCTCTCAGTAGCGTCGTGCGAAATACTCATTGTTTACTCGATTATCGCCCCATTCACAAGTTTTCAGAGACAATGCCGGTGGGAAAATAGACGCCACTAAGCCCCGAAATCAGGAAATTTTATCGAATTTTAGCGAAATTTTGTAGAAAAATCGGGATGCAACACCCTAGATTTGAAAATGAGTATGAGGGCGCTGAGCTAGGAGTATCAGGGCGCAGCGCCCTTGTTCCATCGTCTGGGGAGAACCCTGACACAAAATATCTCAGTGTGCTAGGACACATGACCAGATCGGCAGATATCAAGCATCCAGATATGACCAAGGAGGTTAAATACAATTGTATTGTATTGACATGGCCAAGACTGAAGAGGTCTATTTAAAGTTAAAAGTGAACCACATACTGACATTTCATTATACCAAACCAGATACAGATCAGATACAGACTTGGAAGTCAAGAGGTCTGATTGAACTTGAAATTGACTAACCTATTATCATGGGAACCATATTCTATCTAAATTCAGACCAGACTGTCATCTGTTAAAAATATTTTGCACTTGTTGGCAGCAAAATGACACTTTTATTCTATACAAATACCTTCCGGTAAATAAAAGAAATAGTATTTTCTCCTTTTTTTGGAGGGAGGGATAAATTTTTGTGTCACAGTTTCTGTGTGTATCACCTAGATCAAAACAACGGGCTGCTTTCCAAGCATCTTAAGTTGATAAAACCTCTAACATTTGCCTAGGGGTAAAGTATACACAGAACAAGCTGCTCTATGAAGTCTATCTTCTCAAGATTCAAGTAAATGTGCGTAGTGCAAGGCCTGTTCAGCCTTTCAAAAAATCGGTGTCCTTTTCTTCTTCTGATACGGAATGATGACTTTGAACTTGAGCTTGTGTTACTGATATCCGTTAGGAACGATCCCGAGCTGAGATCCAAGGATGTGGCTTCGGGCCGGTAGCTGGCTGCAAGTTGATACGGCATGATGTAAAACTGCGCGCCGCACTGGTGCATGCCACCCCACGGCCACAACGGCACCATTCCCCACGACATTTTGACTAAAACCTAGCTTCAACCTTTCTTGTTGAAGCCTTGGGGAACTTTCCTCTGTATTAGAGAATCGAAATTTTGTGAAAATTAGTTATATCTTTAGAAGGAAAATGAGTTCCTAAAATGACCATAACAAAGCATGCCTCCTCACCAGTATTTGACGACAGCCGTGACTTGGAGCGGGTTGGGTTGGTCGGCATACAGCCGCCGACAGGCTTGGTAGATGGCTTGAAGCCCGACCGGGGTGGTCATGGGCATCATTTGTGGCGGCATGGGCATTCCGGGTACCCCAGGGTGGGGGTGGTGGTGCGGGATGGCCTCCGTCCCGGGGACTGGGGAGAGATGTGGAGGGCCCGACTCCATCTTGGTGAGCTCACTGCGTCCGTCCAAAACACCAGTCAGCCCACACTGTTCCAACAGTTGTCGGCACCCCCGGTAATTAGCCTGCTTATCATTTAAATAACAAACGTATTCCCCATTTCACACCACATTACAAAACGTTTCATGAATTTTTATTAAGCAAAATAGATCATAATGACCTTAAAATTGGTTTGTTGAAATGAATCTACCAAGTATTAGGAAATAACACCTTGTATTGAACAGGAGTGAAAACAGTAAATCTACTCGCTTGCTTTTCCTTCCTTCCAAGCAGTCACAGACCACCCACATTGTGTCTAGGACACTACTCATATCGTTCTGTAAACGTTTAATATTGAATTCTTCGAGCTTTGATCACGTAGGGCATTTTTGTGTTGTCCTCTTTCTTCAATTAGCATATGATCAAATCTATTTAGAGTTATGATGCGGATTCTCTCAGAGCAGACGACAAAACTGAGCCCTACGGAAAACATGCGGAAAACTGCTTGTTATTCTGAGATCTTCTGAGATTTTTTGCAGCAGTTGAACGTTGAAAAACTGGCAAAAAAGTTAACCTAAATTTTGCTAAGAGTTTATAAATTTCCGGGTTTGCATCAGGGTCCAGTTATTATGCACTGAAAAGTTTTTTGCCATGGCAAAGCATGCAGACATATCTCTAGTGTCCAAACATCAACAGGTCACACGCGCTCACCCCTGTTTTTCAAATAGACTAGTCTAGAAAACAACTTTGACCTAATGGCACAGAAATGCAAAGGCGTTTCTGAAGTTTCTCCGACCAAACAAAACATACACCACAGTATAGCATGATTTTAAAGTGTAAAAAATTTAATTTGTATAGATAATTTTGTTGATATTGATTAAAAGTCTATATATCTGAGATTTTATTTATTAAGCTTTCAAAGTAATATTTTTATTTCAATTGATTTGCTGCGCTCTAAGATGACGTCACCCAGGTATCCCACCATACCGTTCGCGGGGCCTGACCCTCCCATCTCTACCGGAGAAGCCTGCAGAAGGCGGGCAGAGTTGTGCCTACAAATTACTCACCATGGAGTCTTACGACATTATCGCCAACCAGCCAGTCGTGATCGACAATGTAAGTCCACGCTTCAGACCAAGTTTCACCTCCCTACAACCTGAACTAAGTTTGCTACGCGTAAATTTGTAACTTGTGGCATCCTCTGTCAAAATTCAACATGTCCGACTTCGGCACTTGTGGGACGGTTGAATTGATCCCGGCTTTAGCCAACTCTGGATTTCTCGTCGCAAATACAGTCCCTTGTCTCACACAAAAACAATCTAGTGTAAACAGTATGTTGACCCGATGTATAAGATCTCACCCAGAGTCATCCCAAACGTCTGACGTGGAACGTGTTCTGCATGCATATTTGATTGATAAACTTTCCGGAAGCAGACTCGATGGGGGAATTTCAGCAGCATAACTCAGTTATAAGAATGATGCAATTAGTTTCAGGGATATGCGGAAGGCAGGGCAGGTTTATGTATGTCTTGACGTTATGTCTGATGGTAGAGACCCATACATGCATGATGATGACCATCAAATTATGCCAGTCTTGCATATATCAAGCTAAATCATATATTTTTATCAAATGATTGCAGTATTTTTCAGTATAACATTTCAGCATCTGTGCAAGCATTACCTCAATTTACCACGATACTGGATGCAGTAGATATAGGTTTCCATCTGCCCATAGTGTACCAGCCTTAACACCATAAATAGTTCATCAGCGAAACTGCATTAGGATTGACTGCTAATATATGCATTTACAACAACAGGGATGGCAACAGAAGTCTGTATTTAATGGATACAGTTTTTGTCATCATTGACCATTCGTCACAGTATGCTATGTAGAATGTACATCACACAATATAGTTTTTAGCTGGGGGCCATCATGTCACAGATGGAGATAAAAAGATAATCTCAAAGCAGATGGTGGGTGAAAGATCACATTTTCTGATGGACTCCTAGTGAGTGCCATGAGAAAATGTTACAATGATTACAATGTCAACCTGCAGGCTATTGAAACATTGGTAGTGACTGATGTTTACCTTTTTTGTCATATTTCAGGGCTCAGGAGTGGTTAAAGCTGGTTTTGCAGGGGATCAAATCCCAAAGTACCACTTTCCAAACTAGTAAGTGTCAGTTCTCATATTTTTATTATATGATGGATCGCCATAGGGAGATTATACTGCTTGTACTGTAGCATAAAAGCAGTGTTCAAGAAATACAGTTTATTATACTGTTGGCAGCTGCTTGTAAAGGTATATTAGCAAGGGCTAAATCCTCACTTTACTTTTTGCTCCACACAGCATTGGTCGTCCTAAACATGTACGAGTGATGGCTGGAGCACTGGAAGGAGACATGTTCATTGGACCTAAGGCTGAGGTATGGGAGTAGATTGTATGAGCATGTGGTTTTACTAAGGGAGAATACAGAGCAGATTGACAGGGTTTTATGAAACTGATGAAGAATGGTGATCTTTACAAAGTACGTTTCTCTTGAAATTTCTTGGTTTGTTGTAGAAAGAAAAAAATTACAATACAAGTACATTCATCCAACAAAATGTTATGAAAAAATATATGTGACGTCATAACCTCTGTTTGAAATCTGTTTCAGGAACACAGAGGCCTGCTGACTATCCGCTACCCAATGGAGGTAATGATAATCATTGTATGGTGTGAGGTTGTATTGTACATTTGTATTTTGATACTGACAGGAGACTGGGGATTGTTAGATGTACAGTCTACTAGTATATACAACATCCAGTACTTTGCCACCAGTTCCCATTGTGTGATTCCTGCAAAGGCACATAATGATGCCCTTTCTACCATTGTAAAAGTAAAGCTGAAACTTGAAAACTCTTAACAGCAGGTTGTTTGTGACATCTTACATCTGTTGTGTACTACAGCATGGCATAGTGACAGACTGGAATGACATGGAGAGGATATGGCAGTACATCTACTCCAAGGATCAGCTCCAAACCTTCTCTGAAGAGGTATGCTTATTACAAGATACTTTCATTGTACATCTAATGTGAACACATTGGCGTAGACTGTACATGATTTCACACATTACAAAGATATATCCGTTGTATCACATTTTAGTTTCTTTAAAGCAGTTGCTGTTTATTTTCCTTGCTGTTTATTTTCCTATGTCCTGTACAGTGAAATTGTCTAGAATACTAAAAGTGGAAACAGAAACAAGGATTCTCAGTGCTTTTTGAACACCACGTGGTGACCTGTTACCTGATTATGCATCAGTGGAATTCCATGTGTATGAAGTCCCAGATGTACAAAGTCATGTGCCCATGTTCCCTGTACCCCCAGCATCCTGTGCTGTTGACTGAGGCTCCACTCAACCCCAGGAGGAACAGGGAAAAGGCTGCAGAGGTGAGAGGTCCTGCTGGGGACATGCTAAAGCTGTGCCAAGTCTAGTGCCTTATTTATTATTGTGTCTTTTTGCTGAACATGTATTGCAAGAAACATTGTGTACATGTACGTGTACTTTTTCATCTAGTGATTTTCAAAATGTCTTGAAATAAACCAGGCATAATGTTTATAAGAGTGTGAAAGTGAGAAGAAAATTCTACTGGGAGGACCAGACCATAGATTACAGATAGTAAAGAATGTCAATGATTTGAATGAAAGTTGTGTTTGATATTTAAGTGGGCATGTCTCTCTATATATACTTTTTGACAACAGGATTTTAATACCGAGTTATGTTGTTTCTCTTTCAGGTGTTTTTTGAGACCTTCAATGTACCAGCTCTGTTCATCTCAATGCAGGCAGTCCTCAGTCTGTGAGTTAACAAAGCACTGAATGGTTTCAACCAGAAAGTGTACTTTTGTGTGTGGTGAAAGGCATGACATTTATGTTCCTGCTTTAGCATGATCTTGGCATTGTCCTGGAAGAGAAAAGAAGTTGAAATGCAAGAAAATACTTCTCTAAAACCTGGTTGCTGTGTTTTACTAATGCTGACTTGTTTGACAATTCTTGCATCAAAATTATCTTTTATTTTTTGTTTTCTTTTTTCCTCCATGGGCAATGATGAGATCATGAAAAGAGACCTCTCCGTGGTTGAAGATGCTTAGTAATATACTGAGCCCACCTTTGACTTAGTTTTTGTAGCTTAAGTTGCATGTTTTTGCAGCTTTCTACCTAAAATATCCATGTCCTGCCTATCTTTTGTTGGTAACTTTGATTGCAAAATCCTTTGAGAATAATGTATGTTTTACTACTCCCTAACTATGTATAAGTTTTCATGCGGTCCAGACTTTAAGGCAAGTGTTTGCGACAAGGCATAGTGTAGTACCGGTAGTAGATTGTGTTCAAACTTTTCCTTTTTCTGCCTAAGCTACGCGACGGGGCGCACGACTGGCGTTGTGCTGGACGCCGGAGACGGTGTGACCCACGCCGTGCCGATCTACGAGGGTTTCGCCATGCCCCACTCCATCATGAGAGTAGACATCGCCGGACGGGACGTCACACGGTACCTGCGACTCCTGCTCAGAAAGGAGGGACACAACTTCCACACCTCTGCTGAGATGGAGATTGTCAAAACTATCAAGGAGGTAACAGCTCGGAACGACTCAAAAACCTACCTTTAGCAAAACCCATGGTCCTTATCTTAGTTTAAAATACTTACCATTTAAAGTGTGGTAATTTTATGTTGTATAGGATTTCTGCTGTGATTTCAGTTGAGTATAAAATTCATACAGACAAGTCATCATGAAAAGATTTAAGTATTTTTGTGTACACATGTGAATCAGCTAAGTAATGCTTTACATAAATGAATGGACTTGTTTGTTATTTTATTTCAGAGAGCATGTTACCTGTCAAGCAACCCTCAGAAGGAAGAAACCATGGAGACAGAGAAGACCCAGTATGCCCTTCCTGATGGCAGCTCTCTCGAGGTACATACATGTATAGCCTATAGGGTTACATGCAGGCAGGACATGTTGGAGTTTGTATCCGCAAATGATGCCAAAAAGGATATATTTGATAGTCGTTGATAATCATACTCTAGTCAACATGGACATGCAAAAATACACACCAATGGAGTGCAACATCATTTTTAACATTAGCACACTGAAGTAGGCTTTTGGTTACCAATTTTCTTTTGGTTACAGGGTCAGGCAGTAGCTCCTTCAACACTTCCAATATCATTACCTACTAGAAATGGGCATTATTATCAGCCCATTACATTGGTAGTTACTAAATGATAAGTTGTTTGTACCGTGAATATTTTGTAGGTTGGCCCAGCGCGCTTCCGTGCTCCTGAGCTGCTGTTCAGACCAGACCTGATCGGGGAGGAGTGTGAGGGTCTGCATGAGGTGCTGGCCTTCTCCATACACAAGTCGGACATGGACCTGAGGAGAACACTCTACACCAACATTGTACTGTCAGGAGGATCCACGTTATTTAAAGGTACAGGCTGTTGTTTGACACTAACTCCGCTGTGAATTTTTTTTTTGGCAGTCAGCTCCCTGGCATCTGCTGCAGACATTGCAGCTGAACATATGTGACATGGTTTTCTGATGTTCTAACAGTACCCTAATTTCCAAATACCGGTAGTCTATATTAGGACGATGGTCTAGTGTCATCCCATATTCAATTCTATGAATTACAGACACACTTAAACAATTGACAGCTGTGTTGTTTTTTGTAAGTGAAAGCCAGATAGAGTACTGTGTTAATATATTTTATCCATTCTATTTTTCCCTTTAGGTTTTGGAGACAGACTACTTAGCGAGGTCAAGAAGCTAGCACCAAAGGACGTCAAGATTAGGGTCAGTGGTGACTTCTGAGTTTGCACTTTAGTTGTTGATGTATTGATCTTTTGTATCAATCACTTTGCATATGGATGTTAACATGTTCTTACTTGAATGTTTTGTCCATTGCAGATTTCTGCACCACAGGAGAGGTTGTATTCCACATGGATAGGGTAAGATAATGCTCTATATTTGTGTATGATAATTTTTGATACATAAAAAAACTTCCTAAGTGAATGATACATAATATTGTTATTGAATTTGAATCCAGTTCTTCTCAGCAACTCTCATATCTTAAAATGTTGTGTACACTTCTTGCCTCCCCAGGGGTTCTATATTGGCCTCCCTGGACACCTTCAAGAAGATGTGGGTGTCCAAGAAAGAGTACGACGAAGACGGGTCCCGAGCGATCCACCGCAAGACGTTCTAACGCCGGGGAGAGGGAGCTAGCTCTAGCATCAAGACAGTTGTGCAGGTCAAACCACACCCAGAGCTCAGTATTGTGTGCAGTGCCATGGAAATCAAGGGGGTTGAACAACTCATCAAATTCAAAAATGTGTGAGGCTCTTTGTTTAGCCTACTTTAGACTTATTGCTTTGTAAAAATTATGTGCAACTGCAAAGACCTATTGTTGTCAATGGAATCAAACTCAAGCTGGAAATATGTGCATTCATGGGTTTCCTGGATATATATGAATGTATATGGAGGATATCAATGTCAGGGTATGATTGATAAAGTGTTTGCTGGTACTGGTGTAGAAGGAACAACATTGTATCTGAATGTTTTGGTACATGTTTTTGGGTTTGGAAGTTGTGATGGTATGGGAGTTGTTTTCAACCAAGTTTGCTAAGTTTGATGATGTTTTGGAAGTAAAATTGTTTAACTTCTTAAACCTGGCCCTGTTGGTGCCTACTGATCTGCACAAGTGTTGTTAATTTGATGTAGCATAGTTAAATGAAAGTTATGAACATGGGTCCAGCCATTGGTGTAGTGATAGATTATGGAGGATTACTATTTGTATTACTCCTGTATAATTCTTGAGGTACACATTTAAGCCGATACAATATATCTAGCACAAACTAACCTGTACCATACTGTGGTGAGAAAAAGTGAGTCGATTTTGTTTTAGACTGAGATGAAAATTAAACAATTACAGAAGTGTTCTGTAGAATCAGGTGTGAGACACTTTGTATTGGTTGAATCTGTGGCTGCAAATGTCGAGCTGCCTTTGTCTATGATAAACCAATGAGTCTTACTTAGGTGTTTTGCACTGTGCAAAGTCATGTTGAGAACATGCTTACTAGATGATACATTGTTGCTGTTCATTTTTTTACTGCCTCATCAAGATAGAAAATAGCCACTGTGGAAGTTGCAGAAGAAACCATTTTAATAGATTGCTGAATCTTCCAAAGGCCACAGCTATTTAGTAACTCATTTTAGTTCATTGGTATTTTCCAAACTGTACCACCTATCAGGTAAAGCACTAAAAAAACATGTGAGCCCTGTGTTTCAAATATACAGCAATGTGTTTTGAAAGGTTGGTTCAAGGTCACAACTTCAGATATTAGTTCAGAAGAACATCTTGATGAACATTATATTTGGGAGACAACATTGTGATTGAAAATGTTCCACTACATGTACATGTACATGTATGTTTTGTTTCTAACCGAAGTTGTTGTGCACTCCTTCGCCTTTTTTTATCAAAATGTTGACACATCTCAGAGACAAATCCAAGAACAAAGTAGTTACATAGATGTGACCTGTGGTAATTTGAACATGATAAAGTTTTGCAGATGCTTTGCATTATGTGGAAATCATACTGCGAGAGCTACCGATAGTTTCACAGGATTTTACAATGAATCCAACATTTTTCAGGGGTAATTATAGAGAACTGTGTGTCACCAACATACCTGGTATTGCCAGTTCAAGTTTGTCAGACATGTTTGTCCTAATTTTAGTTGTGCTGTTTCCCCAATCTGAGACCCTATCAAATTTATACAACTCGTGATTGAAAGATTGTTTGCCAACCTGCAGAATTACAAGTGTTTTGAATATGTTCATTTTCATGTAACTTTTACAAGCGTAGCGACAGGGAAACATGCATTCCAGGTAGTCAACAATTGCTCAATCAGAAATGGGCCTTCTGTCAATTATTTATTATTTTTTTAATCATGTACGAGTGTGTTTGCAAATAACTGTATCGTAGATAAAGCACAGGTTTGTATACTGACTTGGGGCAATGTGGGATCCAGCATATATACTATACACGAGATATACGGCAATGTAACATGTTGGCAGATCATTTTATATGATTGGGGAGCAAACCTGTACTTGTTATATACAGATTGCCTAAGGCTTAGGTGATCTGTAATTTAAATGCAGAAAATAAATTGGCAGCCATAACTGTATGTTTCGTCTCATTCTTGGCATTCCGATCTGTCTTTTACCTGTCAATTTTATGTGCTGATGTAACAGAGTGCTTAGTTTGAGTGGTCATGGGCCACCTTTTCTTGCACAATCCTGCACTTGTGAGTTGCTATCTAAAGATTTGATACATTATGCACTGGTCATATGTAGGGGCAGTAGACCAAAGAAAAGATAAATATATGTGCAAACAAAAAATGATGCCAATGGCCAGTGTTCCAATGACAACTTTATTTCTACATCTTGTTCTGTATATGCTGTAGCAGCACTAGCTCTTGTATTGAAAGTGCATACAACGTCACAAATGTCTGTACAAAGCAGCAAAAATCAAACACCTTAGGTGTAAAGACATTAGGTCATCATCTAAAACAATGATTAGCACAAAGCAAGACATAAATAAAGCTTTATAGGCCAATATACTAAAAAAAACAGCTTTTTATGAGAACTACATCAACAAACTCTCACCATAGAGCTAGAGGCTTAAAAATATCAACACTTGTTTCTTCCACCTCCTAAAGCCCATCACAAATGCAGAACCTTTCCCCAACCACCAGCCAAGTGTTGGCTGAAGTTCAGGAGCAGTCTGACCAGATTTACCACGCTTACCTTAGGCCACAAATCAAATTAAATTTTAGTTAAATTTCATTAATATTTGATCCCAAACATGCCCTTAACACTGCTGACTTAATCCTGAACACCAGCCAACCATGGCTGAACTTCCAGTCCACACCTAAATAGTGGTAACAGTTTAGTTCATTCATCAGTCCATAATCAGTTTCTTCAGTCTGAAGCAAAATTTCTGATCTTAGAGAGATCACTTACTGTATCAGGGATTCAACCAACGAATAAGTATCACCAGAATACACCTTGGCAAAAAACTACATTCTACAAATAAATACTTTAGTGCAGGGAGCAGAAATATTCTGCAAAATGACTAGGACTTTGTCCACATTCACCACAAGAATAAAGTTATGCAAACTAGGCCATCATGCACACCTCCATGTTAAAATACTTACATCCAATATGGCCAATGACAAGCAAGACTCCAAAATGAGGAATGGTGATAATAAAACCAGCCAATTATGAATAAACAGCTACAGAAACATCAGAGGCAGCTTGGATAAAACTGACTATCTAAAGAATGTTCCCATTTGATACTTTATCATTTTCTTCCCTCTTCTTTTGTATTTTATAACCTAATGTACAGTCTTGTCCTATTGTTGAAGGCAGTTGTGTACTGTCAGTTATACTGGTATCTTGTTAGCATATTATATGAATCCTATTGGAAACTCTGGAATACACAGGTGTGTGCATTTAACAGAATGCCTTTGTACATGCTGTGGTGCACAACTAGCAACTTGTTCAAATAAAGAGAGCACTAGAAAGAAGATATATTTTCAAAATTTCTACGGTTTGGCAAAGGCATTTTAGTGCATGGTATGGAGGACATACAATTGTTTGTCCTTTATACCATAATGCAAAAAGTTCTTGTTGTACATATAAAATGCAGTGCCTTGTGATGATACCAACAAGACATGTATAACCAGCCACAACATATTCTACATTTGCTGGTCTCATAGTTACACTGTACACATATCCTGTCTCTGCCTGATTGTAAATTTTTAAAGATAGTGGACAGCTATCTTCTAAAGCACTCAGCAAACCTTGCACATACATAGTCCCCTTAATATTTTTCAGCCATTATCAACACAATCAGTGATGACCAGCCTGTGAATGGGTGACACCCCTTCCCATGACCATTCACATCACTGTAGTTTTCCCAGATAAAGCCTGATCTCTCATACTCCACGTACAGGTTGTGGATGAGATTACGCCTCAGTTCTTTGTATATCTCTGCAGCCTGGGACTTGTACGGCCCCTTTACGGAGGAGTAATGATGCAACGCCCGCACTGCCAGGAAGTTCATGTTGATCCAGATCTGTCCCCTCCAGTAGGGAGGGTCGTGTTCTGTGTTGTATTTCATGTACAAGGGATCTGTCTTGGCTAGCGATCTCAGGCCGTACTTTGTCCACAAGAGTTGAGGGTTTTTCAGGTCTGTTAGAATCTTGCCCAACTTTGGAGACTTTGCGTCCACGATCTGTAGGAGGAAAGGGAACAAGCTAACATAGCCGAATGAGTTGACAAACTTGTCGGTTGGTTGCTCTCCCTTGATTACTCGGTACATCTTGCCTTTAGGTACAGGTTGTCGTCTCTGACCAGGTTTGGGTGGGGGTGGAAGGGGTACTTTCTCACGTTCTAGCACCACCGCTTTGGTGTGTTTTCCATAGTCTGAAAACAGCTGTTTGGATGGAGACCAGTGTAGTTTCTCAAGCACAGCGTTGTCTGTCAGGAGCTTGTGTGTTGCCTCATACTCCTCCCCGGGCTCCCCTATCACTTTTGCGATGTCCGCCATCACGCCGGAGGCAAGCGCCATCCAGCAGCGAAGATCGACATGGCGCTCATCGTCTGATGGGTGGGAGGCGCGGGGGTAGTCGTCCAGGCCTGACGTCAGGGTGAGGGGGTTGAGCTGCTGGTTTTTGTTGGCACTGGGATCCCTTCCCCTCCACCTGTACGAGGATGGTTCGTTCCCGAGCTGCGAGGTGTTGAACCAGTTGTACCACGTCTTCAGCCGGGGGAACATCCGCTTCAGCAGGAGGATGTCCTCCTCGCTCCTGTTGGCGGCCAGGTCCTTCATCAGGGACTGGATGGGGAGGAACAGCGTGGGAGGGTTGGCGTTCTGGTTCTTCTGTACGACGAACTCGGCCGGCACTTTACTCCTCGCTTCACTGCCCAGAATCTGTTCCCTGGGGATCCAGCCCTCTATGTTCATCAGGTCCAGCCAATGACTGAGGATCTCCTTGCTTATCGCTGTGTCCCACTTGCTGATGAGAAGCTGGTGAAATCCCTCGTCCCAGAGGAACCCGCGAGGGAAGAAGGACCTGGAGGGGACAGCCGTGTAGAGGGGCGCCTCCCAATACTCCACAGGCTCGTCATTATAGGGAGACTGCACCAAGGACTTGCCTCGGAAGTATCCTATCCCTCCCACCATGTTACTGACAGCTGCCTTGGCAAACCGAAGGTTCTTCTCCGTGTATCCTCTTCTATTCAAGCCAAAGGTGTTTTCAAACTTCTCGTCGAATGCCACTTTGTACCTCTCCAGTTCCCTGGTTAGTTCCATCCCCACGAGCCTGGTGTTCCTCGACGTGAAGCTTTCTGACTCAAACACGACTTCCAGGACGCACGGAACCTCCAACGTGACCTGATGAACGAGCACGTTGGCCTTGATGTCGGGTATGGTACTCCTCTTGATCAGGTCACCGGCCAGCCCGTACAGGATGCGCGTCTTGTTGAACAGTAACCTGCGCATCCCGTGTTCCACGGAGCTCTTCAGGAGATCCAGACGCGGCGAGTACGAGACCAGGTGGTGGTACGTCACGTTCTTTCTGGACACCTTCGGGAAGGACATGCGGAACTTTCCCAGCTCCTCCGTCTGTCCTGTGATGGCGACTAGTCGGTTGTTCTCCACAACTGGTTGTATCGTGCCCTGTCCATCCGTAGCTGCATAGAAGAGGAAGGATACCGTGGGGATGCTGATGCTCTTGGACTTCTGTGGAACAGATAAGAAACAATGCTCATCAATGTATGCTGAGATACTGTGACATATACACACTTGCTATACATGTAAGATTATGATTCCTGTAAATGTAATCAACATCTGACTCCATGCACCACCTACTAGTACGTGATGAAGTGCCACAGAAATAAGATGTGGTTTAAAACATGCTTTAAGTAGTAGGTTGACTTATGATACAGACCATGGATTCTAATCATGCACAATTCATAGCCAGTCTCTCACAGCTAGAAATTGTTTGTGGCCAAGATAAATGTTGACTGTTCCAGTTTTATGGTGGTTTTAATGGCCAGTGTTCTGCATATACATATGTATATGTATGTATGTTCACTCAATGTGCTGACTTACATGTATGACAAGTCAATTGTGAATTCCTGAACTGCATACCAGTAAGTACACACATGCATATTTCTAGTATCCTATACTGAACAAGAGCCTATGTTTAAGAGCTCAGAAGTCTCCTATGAAGAGACTGGTATATTTTTAGGCAACCAATCTGGGACACTTTCTTCAGAGATGAGTATTTCAGAGTATTCTTATTGTGACACACATGTGGTCTCTGGGTAAATAGAAGAATGTACATGAAGGAATGTTGTACTTTCTCAATGAAAGGGTCAATGGGATTTAGCAGAAAGGTATTTGACCAATGTGTTTGACAAACTAATGGTGCATGAAAGATTCTGTCTTTCCCACCAACATGCTCCGTTACCTTTGGCAAGTTGGGATTTTACACCAAGACATACTCTGCAAAAGAAGCTTGCTTAAGATCAAATGCATATTTGATAGCTTCTGCAACTTATGCAACTTATTCTGACATGCTACTTGCAAACTTATAATCTTATGCAGCAAAAATTCCAAATTATTAAAGTAAACCATTCAAGCTTTACCAACAGTTTAAAACTTTCCTTCCACGTCTCGTCCTGTTAAGAAATAAATAAAAAGTTCAACATTGGTCTACTGCTCTTCTAAGTCATAAATGCTTGGGGGGACGAGGGTTCCCCTAAAATTTCTGCATGAACAAAACTTCTCTTAAAATTGCATCAACAGCCAAAGGGCCCTTCTGTAAATAAGATGTGGATATACCAGGATATGGGTGTACATGTATTTGGCTAACTAGCAAGGGCAGGCTCTAACCATGGGGAATTGGGGATCGTATTGGATGACAAAAAGGCTCACAGAATGTCATCTGCAGATTGACCTGTGTCAAATTCAAGGCTATGTCCTGCTGGGGACAAGGCCATATTTCAGCAACATCTACTGTAACGTAAAGTACAAGGGATGTGGAATGAATCATTGGCTCTTCTTCATCCTGAATAACAGCAGGTTACAAAGTAACAAAGATGTCTGGATATTTTACCCAGTATGGTGTAGGAGGAAGTGAAGACATGTGGATAGAATTATAGACTGATGACAAGAGTATTTAAGTGAACAGACAGAAGTACACAGGGGATGTTATAGGTGCATTAAGTAGCAACAAAAAGGCAGAAAGGACTAAAGGGTTATGTCAATGATTGTGGTACTTTTAGCCTTCTCCCTTCTGCCCTGTGGCATCAAATTTGTTCTGGCTTATGGCATTAATTAGGCAGCAGAGAGAAGGTTAGACTACCACTAACAATTCTATTTTTCAACTGTTGTTCAAAGTCATCATAATTCATATTGAAAGGCTTTATTTTGCCTTCCAATAAAAGAGCTGGGGGTGGGTGATAGGTCTGGTGGGTGTGTCTGCCCAATCAACCAATAACAACAAAGCTCTGACAGGTGGGGACCAATGGTTAAACATACACACCACATGGGGCCGCCAGACACACTGTATGTATACACAACATGGAACCTTGGCTTCAACAAGGTTCATATTGTCTGCTTTCCAAAAATTGAGAGCCGCCTTGCTCCACAACTGTCTGGAATGATTGGGAAAACTTGCAATGATGCCAACATATCCTCCAGGGTTGGAGGAGAGATTAAATTAGACTGTCAGGAAACCAGTGTCAAATCACTTTAATTTCGTACATTGTATCAAAGGCATGCAAGCTAGCAAGCTTATTAGCTTTATGTAGGAATGTCGTAATATAGACCAGTACATACTATAATGATTTTTGTAGGGGGAACTACAAAAGACATGTGGCAGATATTTGAATTTGGATACCTGGATGTCATTCTATTCAGAAAAGACAGACATTCTACTATGATTCTAGTGTCTCTAAAATTAAGATGAATCACAACTTGGAGGCTGTGTTTTGACTAGAGGCAAAGTCATGCCAAGACAGAATAGTGAATACACTGACAGTGTAAGAGGTGTAATAAGAGATGTCATTTGTACATTTGTAGAGATGTCAAAGATCAAACTGAACAAACACCACATGTGGTACCATATGGCTCACAATACCATATGTCCAGGACAACTTAGTTTTTTTTTTCCAAGAAAACAGTATTTTCTAAATAGAAACTTAATTCAAACCCTGACAGATGTCAATATCATAAAATAACTAGTAGTATTGATAATACAAAGCATGCTGGGCTACTACCACATGCTGAGAGTTAACATAATTCAAATTCTCAAGACATTCGATGACAATCAATCACACCAACTCCCCACATGTTGTTACTGTTATTGTTGCTGTACCGATGTAGAAGGAACATAAACAAACGTTACCCTGGGACTGGCGGTGATCCTCCATGTCCAGTCGCCGCCGTGGTCCCCGCCGGGCCGCTTGACGAACTCGGTGACCATGCTGAAGTTCTTGTCGATGATTTCCTGCAGGCCGAAGTTGACGCCGTCGTGCTGGAGCCATCCGTAGCGGGGCAGCCCGTCGCCCTGCTCGCAGGTGTGCCGGACCTCGGGCCGCACGATCCTGGGGACCGCCCGGGAGTACTGCACCATCCACATCATCCCCGTCACCAGCGAGCGCGGGCTGCGCGTCTTCATGCCGAAGTAAACATTGGGTCGGTACGTTCCCCAGAACCGGTCCGGGGAGGCGGTCGCGCCGGTGGCGCCCTCCTCCACAACCTTGGCTGCGTGCAGCGGCGTGTTGACACGGGATCGTAACATTTCCTGGTACTTGACGTATCCGAACCCGCCGATCAAGGCGAGGAAGATCGTGGCACAAACCTTCAGTGACTGTCCCAACGACGTCTGCCGGCCTCTCGCCGTGAGTCTACCCTGCTGTACGTACCCATCCTCCGAGCCCCTCTCGCTCTCGTCGCCGGCAGCTCCGTTGGATTTTGCCGCCGGTGGTTTCCTGTGCCGCACCATACCTTCCTCGTCCTCGTTTAGTACACACTCCGTGTCATCTGGTTCCCATTTACCGGCGTGTTCCGGGTCCTCCCCTGCTGACAGCTGCTTCACTTCATGGGGGTCGCCATCTTGTTCGGTCTCGCTCGGTTCGTCTGCCACGACGATTTCGCCGAATTCCGACTCGTCTGTCTCCGATTGGCTGCCGTCAGAGTTCCCCGGCAGCTCCGCCGGTTCCCCGCCCTCGTTCGGAGCTATTTCTGAGCCCATTGATGTTTGGTCAGCCGTGAGACTCATGTTTTATTCACACGCTACCGGATCCTGCCTCACCTGTTCAATAAATGTAATGAAATCCGCCGGAGGCCATGTTGGGACTGTCCGAGAGAATCAACAAACGTGCCTGACCAAAAATAATAGGTATGGTCAAAGCAGACTAACGTAATGCCTGAAAAAAAAAGACTCATTGAAGACACATTGAATCCGAAGTTGACAAACTGAATCAAACCGAATTACCGCGTTCTCGTCTTAATCTATACTTAATGCGAATCCATTACGATAGGTGCCGTGGGGGGGGGGGTGATAGCTATGTAAACTCGAAGATGTGGCCGCAATTCCTGTGATTCATCCAACTTTTGCTTTAGTAGTAGAACCAAGGTTGAGAACCTGAGAACCAAGGTACATAAGCGTTTCACGGTAACGTTATATATAATTAACGCAGGTCTTATCATTGGTCTTCAGCACCCAGGACAGGTCAAAACTTTTTCAGTTCGAAACCTTTCCAATTTTCAAGATCTTCCTAGCAATTCCCCTGATTCTACAAATCATATAGATGTTGTATACTCTCCTTTTGGAAAAAAAAACGTCACTTGATTCTTTACATAAGTTTTAGAACATTAAAAAATCCGCATGTCCTGCGCAATGATAATGCCAGATATAGCTTTCAGCACCAGGGACAGACCTGTTCATATAACTAGTATGGTGTTCAGCACCAAGGCTAGATTCTATGTGTCTGAATCCTATGACAGATTTTGAGAGTCTGTCAGTTGAACTAACTGTGATAACCTCCTACACAGGTCTACTTACGTCTTTTTCACGATTTCCCCTAACTCAGTTTCGCCCTAAATGGACAGTTTAGATTTGTAGCCTCTGTTGTACCATGTGCCCAACTGACATGTAAATGCGTACATATAATGGTACTAGTACTCTATTATGTATTACAAGTGGACTATAAACGACTTTGAATGATTTAGGGCCATTCGACAACTCAGCGGCAAAACTTTATTGATATGATATGATATGAATCTTTATTGCATGTTCTTGCCCAGATGGGCTAAATGCACAAGAGGATGTCCAGTATGTAAAACATGAGTATTTCATACCGGTACGCTATATTCTAATGCAAAGTGCTAGGAATCTATACATTACAATAATACAAAATGTACTATAAACTACCTATCATCTACTGTTAGTCCTTTCTTCTCTCTCTTTGAAACATTTGGAAACATATACATGTATTTTTATTATAAAACGTAACTATAAATCGATGGATGAATGAATGAATGAATAGAAATGCTTTTATTCATTGATACTGAATTTTATGACAGATATTCTTCCCCTGTTGCGAGTTTCAAAGTTATTTTACATACAAGGTTTGCAGCAGCTATGTAACCTACCCGAGGCTAGGTTTACCTGTACTGTCATGGTTCGAATTCAGTGCACTTGAACCGGGAAGTACAAACAGTCATGTCTTCTTTACATACGCAGTTCCGTCTGGACTTCCCGTCTTTGGCGACTGCTAGAGAACATATGAAGTCCGCTTGGGCATTACTTCTTACCATAATTTTACAAAGGCTGATATGTTAGTTGCGTTCAAAAACTTTAAATTAAGATCATTATCGAACTTGACCTGCGTTTTTCCTGCCTCTCCCTAACCACTTACTAACAACCATCCGCATTTTCTCGAGTAATGTTGTACACAAACACATGCACAAAGGACAGCTCTTTTTTTATATAAGAGTTTGCCACCGGCACAAAAGACTAAAAGTCTATTATATATACATATATGTTGTAGATATTTACAATATAAATCGAGCGCTGCTGGGTGGATACATCGCAACGTAACGTAACAAAACTAAATATTGATTTTCCCATTATGAATACCTTTGCACATGTTTCACAATTCATTGCCAGCTAGATGATGACAAATTGCATTCGTTTCTGCGGTGACAGAAATGGTCATAATGCCACAAATGTTACCCTAACATGATGCCATGGCTCTTGTTAACGTTTTCTACAGCTCCTCTTTCACAGTGATACCGCCCCGACATTTCCCCCACATGTCCTGGACCATCCTGGTGACGTCTGCTCCCTCAGGGAAGCCGTTGTTGGCGATGACGTCGCTGTAGAATTTGGCAGACTGTTTGGGTGTTCGGGGTCGGTTCGGGTCGGTGAAGTTGACGTAGTGCAGCCCGAACCTCTCGGTGTATCCTCGGGCCCACTCGAAGTTGTCCATCAGGGACCAGGCGGTGTAGGCTCGCACATTCACTCCGTCTACTTCGATGGCTACAGTAAAAAGAAGCACAAAAACAACATATGATAGTATAGCATATATATATGACTATCATATCTTTTGATGTGTGTTGTTGTTGTTATTTATTTGTTTGTTTTGTTTTGTTTTGTTTATCAACAGTGTCAGATACTGATTACTTTGGTTACCTTTCAGTACCTCATCGATGTACGTGATGTAGTAACAGATGCGGCCCGTGTCCTCCATGACAGGCGGCGTGACGTCACCATCAGACCAACCGTTCTCTGTGATGTAGACCTCGGGATCGCCATAGTGTTCCTTTCAAACAGGAGAAAGAACTCAAGTTTAAACGTATTGAATAAATCGAGTGAAAAACGTGATCTTTTGAATGGCGAACACACAGTGACTTCGCATCATGCGACCAAAAATGATGTATTGGTTCACAACCTCCAGTCGTGTCCTTAGCTGCCTCTACGTAAAGTATACCTAAACTATCAAAGTATCTAATACTTCGGTTTATGCTTCTACTAGTGTCTGTAAGCGCATGATCGGTACTAATGATAAGTACGTACCTTTATGTGTTTGAGAAGTCTGCGGAGTCCCCATGGTACTGCATACAGCCAGTCAGACTCACCACGTGGCCACTCCGGGGCGGTGGTCGTTTCAACCGATCGCCACCCAAGGGCGTCCTGTGACTAGGCAAATATATTTTGGTAGTCAACGAAAACCTTACATGCTCTGAAATGTTTACCGTTTGAATAGCGATTTCCATGTAAAAGCTTCTTTTTGATACAGTCAAGAAAACCAGTACTTCGTTTTCCCCTTTGACTGATAGATAGCATCAAATCTTACAGTTACACCAAGTTCAGCAAGCCGCAAACTTTCCTCAATCATTTGTCAATGACTTACCTGTAGATCGGTGGGTTTGTCAGCCACAATTTGTGTTGTATAATGATTCACACCCAAGAAATCCGACGTCCCACGGATGAGAGATTTGTCCTCGTGGGACAATTCAGGAACATCCGTTGTCAACTTCAGGTTCTGTATCTGTAAAGAATAAAAAACCCAGAGTGAATACGGCGTGCTCAGACTCAAATCCATCGTAGGTCGTCGGACGATTTTATAGCGATTTCACAATAAAACTGACTCAGCTTTTTCCCAGATGGTGCATTTAGTTTGTGACTTAACTACGATCGAAGGACGACTGGGCCTTTGGGGACCTCACCCTGCGAGACCTCACCCTGCGTTGCCTTGACCCTGCGAGATCGAAATCCAAACAAGATCGAACAAATACTGTAGTCAAATGCTCGACTCACTGTTTCCTCGATGGCGCTAGGATAGTCGCCGTCTCCGAAGATGGGCTGCGCAAACCACCCGTTGATTATCTGCGTAGCGCGGTCGGTTGCCTCAACGTCAGCGGAAAGGTCAGGGTCACGAGGCTCCGCCCACCAAAGACTCAGAGTGATCCCGACTTTACCTCCCTGAAGTCGTCGGAAGGTCGTGTTGTACGTGTGCCACGCCATGGCATGGGCCTACGTTAGAACAACGACGACGTATAATTAGCACCATGCTACTATTGAACCGCATAGTACGAATCATATGCCTAGCCAAACTGATAAAACCTTAAAGGTATTTTTGCGGACAAAGTGTCCTGAACAATAGTAGGATTGGACTTTGTTGTCGTACATTCTGTCGACGCTAGGTGGCACTTTGGACTAGGTCATTGTCTAGGTCGGGTGGTAAAGGTCACAACATAAAGACGCCATGAGTTAAGCTGCATATCATCGGGTCACGTCCTAGCTACACCTAGGGCGTGACCTACATAGCTAGGACTGCTATGATACGCCGAAGGACCGATCGACAGATACAGATACAGCACTACAATAACTCTAGATCTACGGTATAAGTATTTTCACACGATACCTTAAGAAGAGTACGTCCACAGCGCAAGCTAGAGGCTGGATCTTGGATACCGGGGGCGTGTGTCCCTGATTCATAACCCATTGAGCAGAATATCATCGGTTCGTTAAAAGTTATCCAAAACTTGACCCTGTCCCCGAACGTCTGGAACGCGTAGGCGGCGTAGGTGTGATAATGCTCGACAATATCCTCGCTCACCCAGCCCCCGTACCTGTCCTGTAGGGCCTGCGGAAGGTCCCAGTGGTAAAGCGTCACCATCGGGGTGATGCCGTTTGCGATCAGCTCGTCAATCAACCTGTTGTAATAGTCGACGCCATCTTGGTTGATTCCTCCCTCTACCGTGCCGTCGGGTAAGATTCGGGTCCAGGAGAGAGAGAAGCGGTAGTACTTCAGACCCATGGCCTTCATGAGCTGCACGTCTTCTCGGTACTTGTTGTAGCTGTCACAGGCCACGTCTCCGGTGTCCCCGCGGTCTACCTTACCAGGTGTGTGGGAGAACCTGTCCCAGATGGACTCGCCTTTGCCGTCCGCGTCCCAGCCGCCCTCGATCTGGTAGGACGCCGTGGCCGTGCTCCAGATGAAGCCGTCGGGAAACGTACCCGGGCGGAAGTCGTCTCTGCTTGGATCGTACGCGCCATAGTCGTAAACACCGCCGCTCACTGTGCTTAACACAACAGACAGGACCCAGAAAAACAACATTTCTGTTCACTGCACGTACACAATGGAGGTCAGGGGATCACCATTCTTGTTGAACCAGAAAAGGGCAACATGAGAGTTCGTGACGGAAGTTACAAAACAAAGTCATAAAACATCTAAGTGTTTGCACACCTAGTGTAAAACGTTCACCTACTCTAAAACGTACGCGTTAGATTTTTTAGGAGCCCTAATTTAGGGTGTTTTGAGAAACCCTAGTTTAGGGTTTTTTGAGAGACCCTAATTCAGGGTTTTTCGAGAAACCCTAACTTAGGGATTTGCGAGAAACCCTTTGTTAGGTTTTTTGAGAAACCTTAAGTTTTTGAAAACCCTAATTTAGAAACCATTTTTTTAGAAACCCTAATTAAGGGTTTTTGAGAAACCCTAATTTAGCGGTTTGGGGAACCCTAATTAATTTTTTTTTTTAGAAACCCTAATTCAATTTATACAATTGTAATATTACTCAACAAGTGTGTTGCCATGTATCACAATTAACCAACAAGTCTACTCTACATATAAACAAAAGGTTATGTGGTACGTAACTACACAGGTATGCAGTACACTTTCTTAGTTCTGGACACTTACTTCTGAATAAGTTGATATGTGATGTGGCAGATCGAGGTACACTGACAAAGGATATGCTTGTTTTGATGTGACAGATGTTTCTAGCTTTTAATACATGCCTAAATCATGTAGGTCAGTGCTCTGATTGCTGGCGACATCGCTCAGCAGAAAACTGAAAAGGAGCAATCGATGTCGGCTGGCGTGTTGCAGTCAAGTCGATACCACAGAAATATTGTGTATCTGGGTCAGACACCCATGCCTTTGTGAAATCTACAAATGGGCAGAGACATCTGTTACCACAATAACAAGTCCACGTCTATAGCTGTTTGTCACTGTTGTAGTGCCGGGGAGACGGTAGACAACGTGGCGTGTTCATCTCCGGCGACTGGGCTCCACTATACCCCAACTACCACGGAGAGCAGGACTCAATTTGTGCGGCTCACTTCGCAGTGTTACATCTTCTTACCGAATATCCAAGAGTAACCAAAGGTAACAACTGTGTTAACCCATTCATAATCTGATTATTGAAGCCAATTCAGGGGATGCTAGTTGGCGCAGCAAAGTAAATGCACTGCATATGTATGTTACTCGTAGATAAAAAGGGGGAAGCAGCCTGACTACAGAAGAAACTTTTTGACCGATGCCACATATGTGAAACACGTCAGCAGGTGAAATGCAAAACTTGATGACCTAGTGTTACTATAACACAGATATATGACACACATACTGTGTTTTTGCAGACGACATCTCACAATGGCGCACAAAGTGGCTGTCTTCATTTTGTTCGCCTTCATCCTGTCGGTTTCCATGGAGACAGGGAATGCCTGGAAGTTTATGGTAAGGACGCACAGACTTTCTCAATAAAACCTACTAGTAGATTCCTAGGAGGTCTGATTAGTAATTACTAGTACTGGCTGGCATCAATCGGTTAGTTAATAGCGACTCAATCCGGTGTCAGTAGGTTGCGACTAAGGGCTATTCATGTTATGACCTGAGTGACATCATGGACACCATTTAGTTGTATCTAAGATGTATTTTGTCAAATGTCTCTTGTGACGGCATTAGGCCTCCAAGGCTCTGGTCTGGGTGTCATCCTCCGTAGTCCATGGTAGCTAGCAGCGACAATAGGGAGCACCCAGGCTACAGAAGCTCCACAACTCAAGAACTCATTACAGTGCCGACTCATGAATGCAGCAAAAGGCCATCATGTGCCGGCTTGTCGTAAAAGTTGCTATAAACTACCGCAAATTCACAATACCAGCTTTGTACGGTATTCGTGTGGTTTAGCAGCATTTTTTGGCTAGAATATTTTTTATTCGCCCGCACGCACTAGTTTGGGGATCGTCAGAGGATGTCATCCATAGAATTAAGTCAGTGCGTCTAAATCATTTTCGGTCAAGTTCAAGATTTTTTTAATCTTGAAAATTTTTTTTATTAAAAACGTTTTCACATTTTTTCAAACCAAGCAGAAGCGCAACAAAAGCTCCGGTTCCAACATCGCCAGGAAGGTGAAGAGAGCCTACGACCAGAACTGGGTGGATGACGCCATAAACGCCGGCTGCACGCCGCACCAGGAGCCTTGCCAGCGCGGCACGTTCTGTTGCCCTGCGTCCGGCGGTCGGTTCGGAATGTGCCATCTCGAGAAGGACGGAAACAACAGGTGAGCTTGTCGTGTGTGTTACTAGGACAGTTTAGTTAAGACGATGATGAGGTCAATGTCTGTCAATGTTAGGCAGTGGCAATTACTTTTGTTGTTGTTGTTGTTGTTGTTGTTGTTGTACTAGTGCTCTGCGCTTTGCTCTTCTCCTTCATCTTGAACTATGTTATTGATTGAATACAAGAGAGAACTTAAGGATGAGGACGTATACAGTTGCTCGGCTAGCCTGTCATAGGTCTTCCCCAACGCGTCCGTTGCCGAGTGTTCCATAACAGACGAATTTACCTTTTGAAAATTGCAATGGTACCTACAGAAATACTCTCATAAAAATATCAGATGCTCATGCTTCTTATAGTTGTTGTTTATACTATTATAGTGACATTAATGCTGATAAACTCGTCGTTCACGTCTGTCCTTGCCCAGGTGTGAGTACGTGATAGTAGAGGCGGGGCCCGACTCACAAGGCCCAGTCGGTCTAGACTAACCAGCCCTGCACGGAGCCAACAACATCGGCAAGATGTGGGGAGTAGCACGTGCAATAATGAGTGACAAAGCGGAGCAACATTTAATCTTATCTTCACATCTCTCTATATGGGTCCTATATCTATGACATACAAGTAGCCTTATGAACTGGATTTAGGTTAGTTAACCCAATCGACGGTAACCTTCTTGCTGATACATTCAATAGCTGCAAAACATTCTCTCCGTATTATATAATGCCTGGGTAACAGCTTTATTCAATCGTGTATAACCGAAGAGAAAAGAGAAGTCAGTAGATGAAATATTGATCACGTAAGTGTTATATCGATATGCTGAGCAAATAGTGGAAATAAAATACCATCCTACTATTTCTTGCCTTCAATATCAATGTTATGATAGTTACTAGTATTTAGAGAAAATTGATGATCTTGTTCAAGTTCAGATCTGAACAAATAACGACATCCAAAATCTACCAACATCTGTCATTGCTTGAAAAATGTATTGTTCTTCCTTACAACGCTACTTTTGCGCAAAGCATGTTACGTATACAATTAGTCCGAAATCAATCGACCGAGATTAGGATATATTTGGAACAAAATCGACCGAGATGAAGATATTTCTGGAAAAAAATCGACCAGGATGATGATATTTTCGTCTGATTGACAGCTGGCACTGAAAGACACAGACCCACAGATGTCAGTTTTGTTTATCTCGAAATCAATGTTATTCTAACAAGCATCAAAAAGTTCTATTACTCGTATGCCTATGTTGAGCCTGGATTATTGGAAACTTATCAACGTAGCTAATTATCCTCATTACAGAGGAAATTAGAACATTCGGCAAAACATTCCAGGACGGTGTTTTACAGCTTACTTGGGTGTGTATCAAGGCGGAAGATATCAGTTCTCAAAAGACTTCCTCAATACATGATTTCTGTGTGTAGAAACGTTATGTCCAGCAAGCTTGAGGCAACCGACAAAATTCTTGAGTAATTATTTCTCTTGAGTAGATATGTATTACCACAAAGCAACTTATACATTTAGAGCGCTACATTATGTAAGGTGATTAAAACTTTGGTTTGCCTCCTTAACACCAAGATCATTAACACTGGGCTCTCACCGAACCTTATCAGTAGAACACTTTCACGACCTTTCTTCGGGCAACCTAAAACCTCATGGAACGTGTTTTGTAATTTCACTCATTGTAAAATCTGCAAACAAAGCTGTTCATTGTCTCTAAACTCTGAAAGCATCGTAATGCCTACCCAACTTCCACGACAACTTACGGGGATGTCCAATTTACACTACTACGAATTGACCAGTTACTGTGATATCAACCATTGACGTCGTCAAGATGGCGGACGCTCAGTAGGACGATGTTCGTGTTTCTGTCGCCGTTTGTGTCCGGTAACTCCGTGCTCGCGTAAGGGTAGGCGGTATCTGAGGCAAGTGCGCTGATGGACGAATCCACCAAACGACAGGCGACAACTACAACTGCCGCCATGCCGGCGGACGTTGCGAACACTGCCGACAAGGCAGACAGCGTCAGGGGTGTCGGGAGGAGACTCGCCACCACCATCAGCGAGCTGACCAGCGCAGAGACGGCAAACAGGCAGCTCGCCTCTACGAGTAGGGGAATGACAGACCGACACATGTGTCGGGCACAGGTGATGATGAGGCGGAGAAAGTGGTATAGCTTGATGGCAGGCATCATCGCGAAAACGCCCCACACTGGCGGTGAGGTCTGGTACAGCCAGCAACAGCCACCCACCACTGTGTACCTGATGCCATCGCCAAGGTTTAAAAGCACGAGAGCGCCTGGGCAGAACCAACAGGCTAGGATGTATCCTACCTCTCCAGCCGCGCTTCTGCTTGTGTTTGCTCCGTTGCGAGCTAAAGCGTCGAGATGACGGATGACGGCGGAGGTGCAGAGTTCGCAGACAAGCATCAGATGGAGAGAACCCACAGCAACTACCTTACTGGCCGCCAGGTCTGGTACACTCTTGACGAGGAAATGACCGGTTTGGTTGATTGCTAAGGCTAGAATGAGATTTGTCTCTAACAGGTTTCTGGGTAGGTGTCGTCCGCATTTGCGTGTGGCCATGAAAAACAGGAAGATTGCAACCATCGCGTACGAGCTTGAGTGCA